AGCTTAATATGGTGTCGCCCAGAGACTAAAGCCCCTTTCACACTAGCATCGGCTCCACATGGTCTGGATAGCATATAGAGCTTCTACATTAGCATAGCCTACCTGTTTTTCAGCCCTCTTCCTTAGGTGGTCTGCTTCAGGCTGACCAGGGCCAACACACCCACTGCTGACTGATAACCCCGCTCAAATTCACACCTTCCATTAGGGGAAGCCTCTGATTGGTGGGTAGAATCAGCCCACCTGGGCTTACGGCATTATCATGCTGACTACCTACGAGTTGAGAACTTGTCTGACTGCATTCCTAAGCAAGGATGTGTGGAATGGACTGGGCCAGGCTGGGGCTGACTGTGGCTATCTGGGTGGTGTGGAGCCGAAGCTAGTGTGAAAGGGCCATTAGACCCGCTTCCATGTATTTTAGACCTGATTTGTATGGTTATTTGTTACAAAGCTGCCAATATTTTTCAACAACTGGGCGTCATTTCATTCATTTTCAACAACATATTGAAGGATGTTCTCAGAGATTCATGGTAAAAACTACACATTGTCTCTTTAATGGTGGCGTTGTTTTCAGAGAGGACATCAGTCAAAACAATCAATCGTTAATTAAAAAAACATAGCATCCTTCCAGATACATTCATGTAAAATCAATGTCAAAAGAAGACTTTTATATAAATTCATGAATTACATTTATACATAAATGACATTTGATTGGCATCAGGCACCAGTGAGACGCTAACGAGTCCTAATGACTTAATTACGTTAGCCCTAACTCGTGTTTTCACCTGTATTTAAACAGTGCTAGTAATAATGAACAAAAGATGGAGGATAAGTTAGACAATCTTTGGCTCCAAAATCTATAAAAATGTTTTAACCCTCCCACAGTCTTCATGGGTGTGACCCCGCCAGGAAAGTTGACCACTGAGCAGGATGGATGGTTCATCCCTTGCGTCCACGTGGCAGGGGTGAGGAGTGAGCACCACCTCACCCCTGCCACGTGGACCTCAAGGGATAAACCATCAATCCTGCTCAATGGTCAACTTTCCTGGCAGGGTCACCCATGAAGACTGTGGGAGGGTTAAATGTTATGTTCTGAATATAACAAATGTTACAAGTAAGTTAGGGGGTATTAGCATCACGGAAAGTACTAAATATACTAAATGTACTAAACATATTTTAATGCTAAAATCTTCAAAAGTATTAAATGCTACTCGCTTTGAGTACTTATTGCTAGGTTAACAATAACTCATTGCAATTTAGCCATGTTTACTAGGAAACCGTGTTTTACTTGTTATTTTTATTTCTCCTCCATCTTGGCTCGTCTCAGCTAGTAGAAGCTAACCATTAGCATTAGAAACTCCACAACATGGCAGAACTCGTCCAGGATTATTTGTGGAGATAAATCAGTGGTAGAGTTGTGTTGTTGTTAGCCAGTCCGAGGCAAGATTTCCAAATATCAGGAAATAATAGTGAGTAAGACTCCCAAACGCTGTTGTTTTCTGCTCACCTCTCCTCCGACTAACATCTTGTTCCTGAAACAGGAGCGCCGGAGCTTTTTTTCCCACAGAGATTGATTCACAAGACTTTCATATATGCTAGAGAGTATATGTCCAATGCAGCTATTGTCTGTATTTTTCACTGCAGATGTACTGAAAAAAAATAGAACTTGATGAACACCTAAGTGGTTTTTAAAGAGCAAGTCACCCCCAAATAAACTTATTTTTATGATAAACTGAATAAATGCGTGTCTAATCGTGCTGCAGACACGTGTAGTTAATAGTTTTGCACTTTAGTGCATTTTAGTTAAAATTTTAATTTTCTGCCCGAAACAGTCAGTGTTGTGCCGTTGTCAGGTAAAAACTCTGCGCTCCATTTGAATTTAAATCTGCCATCGCTATTGGCTAAGAGGTACCCTAGAACGTTAGCTGGTACCATATGATGTCACAATGTCGTTGTGAGCCTGTGTGTGTGTGTATTTGTTAGCGGCTTCGCCCTCTCGGTCTGCTAGGCAACAACATTTGTTGCATTTTTCAAACAGGAAGTGGGAGTGGAGTAATACTCTGGTAGGGGGTGACTTGCTCTTTAAGGTGTGCATGTAGCAAGGAGAAAAAAAACCAAAAATATGATTTAGCTGCAAAAGCAACCGCAGAGTTTATGTCTTTTGATGCTACATGACTGTGTTTAATCTAAAAATTCCCATTTTTATTTGAAACACCTTTAGGAAATGCAAGACCTGGAAGAACATTTTTGCCTGTTTACCAAATGTAATTGTGCTGAGTGATGTTCAGATGTTGGTATCAAAAAAATGGAGGTGCTATGCATCAGTGTCAGCTCCAGCCTGTGGCTTGATGAAAGCTGCTGCGCTTGTTTCTGGCTGAACTGGACGGCCGTTCATCAGGCTGCCATTAAAAGCCGAGGAGAAACAGTGACTTAGTGTTATGCCGAGGCTCTAGGGATTAGCTCGCGTCTGTCAAAGTGAGATCCTGTTACCGCAGATAAAGCCAGCAAAAGAAAAACGGCGTTTGGGTGGAAGTTTTATGCATTTTTGCTCTTTCTTTTGGTCATTCCCTCCCCTGTGGGGGTTAGGGTGAAGGGAAAGGGAGGCACTGACTGCTTCTGGTTACCAGCTGCGTTGTAACAGCAGAAAATCCCCCATTCTCCTCTTTTCTGGATGATTAATTGAGCGTCAAAACAAGAAGGACAGAAATCATCTTCCTCCCTTACCCTCTTCCAACAGTTTAAGATAATAAGGAGCAGATTTATGGAGGAACCATCCTGACACAACATCCCATCTTTCTTTAGTTTTCCATCCGTTTGGAAACTCAAAAGTCACAAAGCAACATTTGGATCAAGTTCTTGTTTTCTGATCAGTTCAAAACAAAGCTGAATACTTTAAAGAGCAAGTCACCCCCTACCAGAGTATTACTCCACTCCCACTTCCTGTCTGACAAATGCAACAATTGCTGTTGCCTAGCAGACCGAGAGGGCGGAGCCGCTAACAAATACACACAACGACATTGTGACATCATATGGTACCAGCTAACGTTCTAGGGTACCTCTTAGCCAATAGCGATGGCAGATTAAAATTCAAATGCAGTGCAGAGTTTTTACCTGACAACGGCACAACACTGACAGTTTTAGGCAGAAAATTTAAATTTTAACTAAAATGCACTAAAGTGCAAAACTATTGACGACACGTGTCTGCAGCACGATTAGACACGCATTTATATAGTTTATCAGGAAATAAAAGTAGATTTGGGGGTGACTTGCTCTTTAAGTCAGAAAACTATTAAAGTTGTACCTAATAGTTAAACTGGTTTGTTCTATCAAAGAAGAAAATATCAGATGCAGAGCTCCAACGGTTTTGAACGAATGACACAAATGATGAGTACATTGTGATCTTCTATTTTAATTGTGTTTCTCTTCTTTGCACCAGATCAGTTGAAGATCACCAACTTGAGAGTTAACTTCACCAAACTTCACACTCTTGGAGATAACCTCCTGGACCCCCGAGCGGAGATCAAAGAGAAGTACTACTACGCCATCTATGAGCTCATTGTGCGCGGAAACTGCTTTTGCTACGGCCACGCCTCAGAGTGTGCCCCCATCGAGGGCATCAGGGATGACATCGAAGGAATGGTGAGTGGTGAGGATCCACAAACGGAACATTCTAGTGACTGGGCAGACGATGCTCAGGAGGTGGAGCGGGTTGTCCAGTAGTCGGAGGGTTGTGGGATCGATCTCGGCTCTTGGCAGATAATTGGGCGAGACACTTAGCCCAGCTTGTCTGCTTGAAATGCTCATCACATACTGATGGCAATCTATAAATTAACTGTTTAGTGTAAAAATGATAAATTTGAGTCACCTACACAATCCTGGAAAAACCTCATCCAATCCAGCTTGCCCACTACCCATGTGATTGGTTCATAACCCATCCATCAAGCTGCTTCTCTGAATTTCTCACCCTACTGTACAGAACATCCTCTGTGCAGGAACGCTCGGAGCAACTCACCAGGAAGCTAGCTGAGCCGCCTAGTCTCACAAGTGGAATGTCCCGTTCTTTTTAGGGAGTTATTTTACATCAGGGGTCTCCAACACGTCGCTCACGAGCTAGCGGTAGCTCGCGACGCACTTGAAGGTCGCTTGCCTGGAAGCAGCCAGCGAGCCACCCTGCCTGACTCGTCATTAATGAGGGACAGCTTTTAAACAAAAAAATTTTAAAAATCTGATTATTGCACAATTCTTTTGGCAAACCTGCCCTACTGGGAATATGCAGATGAATTGCTCGGGCTGCAGCACAGATCCCCGTTTCTGATCTCAGCAGCTGCAGCTGCTGCTGGATGAAGACGTGCTTCTGAAGAAGCCAGGGTGACGTCGGTTGCACAGGCTTGGCTTCAGAAAAACATCCTCAGTAAAATAATCTGGGCGACAGGAGTTATACCCTGGAAGCCCTGTTGCCTGTGAATATTGTACCATGTCCAAACCAAACCTATGTGAAAAAGTAACACCTTTCTAATCTCGCACATCAATTTGGACCAGTTTTGATGCACACTTCTCAGCTGAGTTAGTTTTTCCAGCAGAAAGGTCAACGGCCAAATATTTTCCTTCAGAACTCTTTGCTAGAGAGCAGAAATCATGATTCGGTCAGCAAGCGGTCCAGGCCCTGAAGCAGTGAAGCAGCCCAGACCATCACACTGCCACCTCCATGCCTAACTGTATGATGTTGGTTTATTCCAGATGTAACGCGTCCAGATTTCTCGTCATTTCACAGAATCATTATCGCCTCTCTTTTAAGGTTCATGGCAGATGTGTGTGTAACCACAACACCAAAGGTTTAAACTGTGAGCAGTGCGATGACTTCTATAACGACCAGCCCTGGAGACCTGCGGAGGGGCGCAACACCAACGCCTGCAAGAGTAAGTCCCGCAACTAGGACTTTAGTCTCTGCTAGTGTTTATCTCATCAATGTTTAGCAAAAATAATATGTATATTTAAGGCCATGTTTTCTTTTTCTAGAGTGTAACTGCAATGGCCACTCAAACGTTTGTCACTTTGACATGGCCGTTTATTTGTCCACGGGAAGAGCCAGCGGTGGAGTGTGTGATGACTGTCAGGACAACACAATGGGACGCAGCTGTGAGATGTGCAAACCGTTTTACTACAAAGACCCCACCAGGGACATAAGAGACCCGCAAGTCTGCAGAGGTGAGTGGAGGTGGTGACGGCCCGGTCAGCCAAAGTGGCTTTCCTCTCAAGGCTCCATGATCACGGTCCAGGCCCTGTGGAAATTATCCTGATACCTTTTAACCAGAGGTGGAAAGTAACGAATTACATTTACTCACGTTACTGTAATTGAGTAGATTTTTTGTATATTTATACTTTTGAAGTCGTTTTTAAAATCTGTACTTGTACTTTTACTTAAGTTTTTTAAGAAGAATTGTAATTCGCTACATTTTAAATCATATCTGTTACTGAGTAAAAATAAATTGTAGGCTTAATAAATTAAAAATAGAGAGACACCTGCATGAGCACCGCATCTAAACGGGGGTGGGGGGGTACACTTTTGATAATGAGGACAAACGGCCATATTTACCGCAGTTTTGCTCAAAAACATCAGTTCAGTCCCTGTGATCCACTCGCTGTTTACCTCCTCTCTCCGTTCTCTCGTGGGTTGGAACCCGCACCTTCGCGCACCGGTGTGACGTCATCAGAATTCTGCTCGGTTCAGTAGCCAGACTCGGTTCTGTGTTTGAAATGTGTTTCCCTACCGCTCCGCACGGAAGCGGCAAAATAACGTTTAGCGCTCATAACAAGCGGATTCTCAGCGCTTTGCTCATAAAACAGAAGACCTGCAGGCCTCTGTGAGTTAAAACATCCTGATACTGTTCAGGTGTAAACATTGTGCTCCATCCCTGTGTCTGAACTCACAAATTGCTTCTTGACGCCACAGATGTGATAATTTAACTTGTTTCTTTATTTTACTCCAGAATTAGAGATTAAGTTATTACAAAAGTGGTTCATTGTTGTTAAATTAGTCATTCACATGATTCTAGCATGCTGCAGTGTGTGTGTGTGTGTGTGTGTGTGTGTGTGTGTGTGTGTGTGTGTGTGTGTGTGTGTGTGTGTGTGTGTGTGCACATACAAGCGTGTTGTGAACTGGTGTTGTGGTTCTGCACTGATGTAACCATCTTTACGCTGACAGAAATGTAACTAAGTAACTTTTACTTTGAGTACATTTTATTTACGATCATTTTTACTTTTACTCGAGTAAAAATTTAGGCTAGTACTTTTACTTGTACTTGAGTAAAGAATTATCAAAGTACTGGTACTCATTTTAGTACTCTTTCCACCTCTGTTTTTAGGCTTTCTGAAAGTTTTTAACATGCTTATTTATTTGTTTGTTTGTTTAAACATTGTCCAGTAAATTCTTCACAAAAGAGATAAGAGAATCAAACTATAAGATTTTTTATCAATAAAACCTCAGGGGAAACCAGCTGAGCTGTAATCCGAGATTAGGATAATTTTATCTAAATCAGCGGAGGAAACCGTGTGACATAAGCTTAGAGCGTCAACATTTTCAGCTGCCTCTTTACGATGACTCAAGACTTTTGCACAGTGCCTAACATCTGTAATGTAATGCATGTTATAAGTTTATTTTTCATTGTTAACATTTTGTCTTACCTAGTTTTGGTAATCTAGCTTAATCCTTTAACTTCAAACCAAGAGAAAAGCAATCAACCTTCCTTATTTTTTCATCGATTCATTTATTTTTAAGAATTTGGGGCAATAAAGGTTGAAATTTAAAGTTGTGATGATGTAAAAAATATATATTTTATATTAATATAAGCTAATAAGATGTAACCATTCATGGTTCTGCTCAAACTGAAATGGTAACGTGCTCATTAACCTTCCACGTCCGACCTTATAAAATTTATTGCCAAAAATAAATTAAACTCTTTTTTAAAATCCCAAATCTTTGAATCGGAAGCTTGAAACCTGTCTGCTGCTCCACAGCGTGCGACTGTGACCCAGACGGGTCCCAGAACGGAGGGATGTGTGACACCCACAGTGACCTGTCGCTCGGCATGGTGGCGGGTCAGTGCCGCTGCAAGGCTAACGTCGAGGGGCCGCGCTGCGACAAGTGCAAGTCCGGCTTCTTCGGCCTGAGCCTGACCAATCCTCAGGGCTGTGAACGTGAGTGTGTGTCACCCCAACAACCATCCACTTGTGACTTTTTAGAGAAACCTAATCAACCCTCTCCTTCTTTCCTTTTCACTCGTTATCTCCCGGAACCTCCAGCTTGTCGATGTGACCGTAGAGGAACGGTTTTTGGCGGTTCCCCATGCGATCCTTTCAGCGGAGACTGTATCTGCAAGCGGCTTGTGACCGGACGCAGCTGTGACCAGTGTCTGGTGAGAGGCCGCAAAAAGTATTTTAGGTCTGGTTTAAATAGAAAGTGAAGAGTCTCTCTGGAGCAGTTTGTGCGCTTAGAAGTAAATCTTATTTATTATGTAACAGTGGATAAAAAGCTGTGTTTCACACAGATTCAATTCAATTCAGTCTATTTATGCAGCACCAAATCACCACAAGAATCATCTGAAGGCACTTCACAAAGTAAGCATTCCAGATGTTTTATACATTTTAATTTAAAGAGCAAGTCACCCCCAAATCAACTTATTTTTCTGATAAACTATAGAAATGCGTGTCTAATCGTGCTGCAGACACGTGTAGTCAATAGTTTTGCACTTTAGTGCATTTTAGTTAAATTTTTATGTTCCGCCTAAAACTGTCAGTGTTGTGCCGTTGTCAAGTAAAAACTCTGCCATCGCTATTGGCTAAGAGGTACCCTAGAACGTTAGCTGGTTCCATATGATGTCACAATGTCGTTGTGAGCCTGTGTGTGTGTATTTGTTAGCGGCTCCGCCCTCTCGGTCTGCTAGGCAACAGCAGTTGTTGCATTTGTCAAACAGGAAGTGCGAGTTGAGTAAGAATCTGACAGGGGGTGACTTGCTCTTTAAAAATGTGCAAAACTGAGGAAAAGCATGCAGCTAGCTCTGGTTGAACAGATGTCTTTTAATGCAAAGGGACAACTTACGCAGCAATTAGCTCTAAAATCTGCCTCATTTTTAATGGTTCTTTTACTTTTATTCTTTGTTTGCCTCTAAACTAAAGTCACCCTGCAGCCCGAGATGCTGGGGGGTGACGAGCCTCCTGTTCTACTTCTGCCTCTTGTCCCAAACCTGCTCAGCCAGGAATAGTATGAGCAGGAATGTCAGCTCCTGCCTGGTCCCTGGGTCTAAATTTAGCCCTGGGATTTGTGGATTTTCCAGTCGGTGTGGAGTTACAGCAGGCCTAAAATGGTCAGACCCGTACGTGGCTTCTATAGCGGATCCTGCTGACAATACCATCAATGTTGATGTTAGAAAATATGTTTTAAAGTTTCTGCTGGGGGAAAAAACGTTGGGAAGTCGTCATGAGTTTATTTTGAAGGTTTCTGTTACAGGAAGTGATGCAACAAAAAAGGTCCCCGTAAACCAACAGTAGCATTTTATACGATGCCTGATGTTCCAGAGTCACTCGGCTGTTGAACCGCTCTGATTTGTGTTCCCATCTTTGCCGTCTGTCCGTCGTAGCCGGACCACTGGGGGCTGAGCCACGACCCGAGCGGCTGCCGAGGCTGTGAGTGCGACATCGGAGGAGCGCTTGACAACCAGTGAGTGGAGCTGTGGCTTCAGTCATGGGCCAGTAACTCAGATCTGTTTCTTACTTTTAGCATTCAGACCCAAATCTCTATATTACAACTTTGCTCACATTTAAAGGTGCAAAACACCAATCAAACATTTTTAATGATTATTTCTGATTCTAACGGGTCACTCTGAGTGTTTCATGCCGGCTGGACATGAAAATAGTCTCCTACACCTATCTCCTGCTTTAGCTTCTGACAGAAAACAGACGGTGAAACTCTAGGATTAGAAAATCCTGACAGATCTACGTCACACTGTCACTAACATTCATGGACTCACCATCTGGACTCACGACGAGGAAGGTTGTTGTTGGTTTAGCGTCCAGGAAACAGCAGAGAACGTCAATGCTAGTAGAAGCTAGCAGTTAGCATTAGCAACACCACCACACAGCAAAATTCCTCCAGGCTTGAGTTATTTGTGGAGAGAAAACATCAACGTTGCAGAGCAGATAGAGTCGATGGTAGAGTCGTGTTGCTGTTAGCCAATCAGAGGCGAGATGTACAAATAAGACTCCAAATCCTGCTGTCTGAAGCTGTTTTCTCCTCCAGCTCACTTTTAGTTCCTAAAACAGGCGCACCGGAGCTTTTTTTTCCCCTCAGAGTACGACTTACAAGGCATTCATTCTAATAGAGACCACTGCAGATGTATTAAGAATGTGAGTAAAGCACCGCTTTACCTTAGTAGGTTCAATCAGGGGCAGCCGGACTTTTCCTCTTGTGAAGTAGTTTCAGAGTCGGCCATTCCAATCACCAAACCATTCTGCAACCCATGGATCTGCAACCTTCACAAATAAAAGAGCCATTTTTAATCAATCATCGAGAGGAGCCAGTTGAGGTGGCTCGGGCATCTGGTCAGGATGCATCCTGGATGCCTCCTTGGTGATGTTTTCCAGGCACGTCCAATCGGGAAGAGGCCTAAAGGTAGACCCAGGACACGTCGGAGGGAATATGTCTCTCACCTGGCCAGGGAACACCCTGGGAGCTGGCCCAAGTGGCTGGGGAGAGGGAAGTCTGGGCGTCTTGGCTTAGGCTACTGCCCCCATGACCTGACTCCGGATAAGCGGATGGATGGATGGATGGATGGATGGATGGATGGATGGATGGATGAATGGATGGATGGATAGAATTTTAATCAACTCGTCTGCTATATATAACAGAACTGAGGCTTAATAAAGTAACCTATACAGTTTTAACCAAGAAAACAACACTTCAGAACCATTAAAGTCAGTTTTCCCATTTATGAAGAAAACTAGCTAAATAAGTTAAATATAGCCTTGATGAAGCATTATGACACATTAATGCCATAGAAATGTAAATAAAACATACTAAATAAACAAATACAGTATTTACAGTAACTTTTCATGTGAATATACTTTTGCCTTGTCATAATAACAGCTTGCTGTGACACGACGTCAGATTTTGATGTCTCAAAATGGCATCAGTTAAAATACATTTATTAAACTACCTTCTGCTTTTGAACCAGTTTGGCTCAGATGTGTTTAAATGTTAGTTTTCTGGAGGTAAATGACTCTCAGAAAGTCTAATTACAAACGGATGAAAGTTTGAGCTGCTTTTGTTGTTTCTGGTACTGAAATGATGGTGAGGAATTTATGAAAACTGGGAAAATCTGCTAAATGATCATTTTGCTCCCTTTAGTGTCACACGGGTGGCTCCAGAGCCACATGTTGCAGACCCCTGCTGCAACCTTTCTATTTCTAAAGCAAAACCTTTTTCCTTTTATGTATTTAGTAGCGTTATGATTTTAGTTTTAAATGCCTCGCTGTCACAGTTCAGTCAGTCTAAGCGCCACACTTATCAAATATGTTTGTGCAGCACTTCAGCCACATTCTGTTGAGAACAATCCAGGTTTTTGCAGAGCCTTAATGAGTTAGGCTTATACTTCTGCCTTTGGTTGATGCTTAACATCAGAAAGTGCTTTCCAGTGTGTTTCTCATTACATCGTTAGTGCACTTTTCATTGCACGTCTGCATTTTGTGTGTGCAGAGCTTTTTTCTTTGCTGTTGCACACCAAGCAGTATTACAGGGAAATGTGGCGTTCAGTGTCCCGCCAACGAGTCTTAGGCATTTGGCAAGGCAAGCTCAAACTAGAGAGACCACCGCTGAACCGGAGCCACAACATTGGCATGAAGTAGAGCCCATTGAGGCTCAATAATTCAGTTACTTTTGATCCTCCAGGTTCAAAAACTGGATTTAAATGACTTAAATCCCTCAGAAACTTTGAGCATCTGGTTTAAATTCTTCTTGAGCTATGTGCATGTGCTTATTGAGGAGAATTATTTTTATGAATTCATGATCTTTAGCTATAATCTGTACTGATTCAGGCTGATCCTAACCACTGGTATAAATGAAAATTAGCATTTTCAAAACTAGCATTCTCGTCAGCCTTAGCTGTATTGAATGGGTTTTCAGCGATGGCCCACATAATGCACAATAAATCCTCTAGTGATGAAGAGCCTACTTTAGCTGCAGACTTCATTTTGAGTCTGAAGGTCACAGGTGCATGCTTTCTCCATGCTGTGCGTGTTTTCTTCGGGTGCTCCAGTTTCCTCCCACAGGCCAAAAATATGCATGTTAGTTTAATTTGCTAGTGGCTCATTAAAAGTGTCTATAGCATCTAAAAGTACAAACATAAAATTTAGCAGTGAAATACAACGATTGCATGTGTCTTAGGTGCTCCATGGAGAGCGGACAGTGCCGCTGCCGCAGCCACATGACGGGGCGTGAGTGCACACAGGTGGAATCTGGATATTTCTTTATGGCTCTGGATCACTTCCTTTATGAGGCAGAGTTTGCTCGAATGGAGAAGGTGAGGCTGAATTTCTTCTGAACACAATATGTTTTATTTATGTTGATATGTTTGACTGTTTTTCTTGGCTGTGCGTGCTTTCAGGGTTGTCTCTTAGAGACGAGGGAACACCAGCCTGGTCGTCCTGCTTCGTGGACAGATTTAGGGTTCGCTCGGGTTCCTGAAGGTGGCCTTCTGGAGTTTGTTATTAATAATGTCCCTTACTCCATGGAATATGATTTACTCATCCGCTACGAATCACAGGTGTGTTTAACTACTCATCAGTGTTAGTTTTGATAAGAAATTTTAATTGAGTTTTAGTCTTATGACTGAAATTCTTTTTAATTTTAGGCACAAATGATTCATCCAGTTTGTTTTAATTTTAGTTTTATTTTAGTCGACTAAATTATGTATTTTTCATCTGATGCAATAATTTTCAGATTCTGTAAGGGAAATGTTAACTTTGTTAACACCATTGTAACACCACAGTAACACCACCGTAACAGCACTGTAACAACATCATAACACCACTGTCACAGTAGCGTAACATCACCATAACACCACTATAACACCATTGTAACACCACTGTAACACCACCGCCACACCACTGTAACACCACCGTAATAGCACGTAACACTACCGTCACACTAGTGTAACATCACTGTAACGCCATTGTAACACATCTGTAACACCACCGTCACACCACCATAATAGCACCATAACACCACCGTCACACTAGCGTAACATCACTGTAACACCACTGTGACACCACCGTAACAACACTGTAACACCACTGTAACGCCATTGTAACACCACCATAACACCACAGTAACACCACCGTAACAGCACTGTAACAACATCATAACACCACTGTCACACTAGAGTGACATCACAATAACACCACTGTAACGCCATTGTAACACCACTGTAACACCACCACTACACCACTGTAACACCACCGTCACACCACCGTAACATCACCGTAACACCACCGTTGCACTAGCGTAACATCACTGTAACACCACTTTGACACCACCGTAACAGCACTGTAACACCACTGTAACACCATTGTAACACCACCGTAACACCACCGTAACAGCACTGTAACAACATCATAACACCACTGTCACACTAGCATAACATCACCATAACACCACTGTAATGCCACTGTAACACCACTGTAACACCACCGTAACACCACCACCACACCACTGTAACACCACCGAAACATCACCGTAACACCACCGTTACACTAGCGTAACCTCACTGTAACACCACTGTGACACCACTGTAACACCACTGTGACACCACTGTAACAGCACTGTAAAACCACTGTAAAGCCATTGTAACACCACCATAACACCACTGTGATACCACCGTAACACCACTGTCACAGCACCGTAACACCACTGTAACACCACCGTAACACCACTGTGACACCACCGAAACACACCCCAGATGTGTACTCACCAAGCAAATACTTTCAGATCATCACATCCTCCCAGCCGTGGACTTTTTCTCCTTTTAGACATAAATTGTTCAACTGTTACTGGTAGCTTGTTCAAACAACAGCCAGCTCCGGACTCTGATTGGTACTTTCCTCGTCTAGTCCCACCTGTTCCATTTACTGATTGGCTCTTTTTTCGTTCTCCCATCTTTTTTGTTTTCTGATTGGATTTTTGTTACTTTCAATTTTTGTTGTCTTTTCTTCGACGAAGAGACAATAAAAGACAAAAGTTTTGTTTTCAGCTCATGATAGGAAGAGTTTGCTCTTCAGTCAGAGATAGTTAGAAACAAAGATGGACATAATTCACTAAGAGGTGTCAGTAGCTGTTACGACAAGACTCGCCATCTCTTTCCCCTTTGCTCTAGTTGGCAGAAGTATCAGAAAGATTGCAGTCATGGGTCTCAGGCAGCTGTCTTTGTCATGCAGCTAAGCTGTAAGGACTTGTGTTACTCCCTTTGTTACCTTTTAACAGAAGATTATGACCAAAAGCAGCAGAATGGGGCTCTGAGGATGTCTTCATACAACTTTTATAAATAATCACTGTAGAGCATCTTTTGTCATCATCTATCAAGCCAGCATGCTGTGTGGTCAGAAGGTCAAACATTCAGAGGGTTCTAGAAAATCCATTTACCTTGTTGTTGAATAAAGGCAGCTGAGGTGTCATTGTACAAATACATCTGAACCGAGTCCGACCTGCTCTCCTATGTAAATCAGTGATGTTGGAAAGGCCACAGAGAAAAAGTTATTTCTGAAAGGTGTTTTAACATGTCACCCATATAGACACAACCCCCAACCCACCTCTACATCAGCAAAATCCTACTATGTTTATGTATTTAGCAGACGCTTTTGTTCAAAGCGACTTACAAGTGATAATCGGCATATTGCCCTTGAGGCTAACAACAACAATAACAACAACAACATTGACATCAGTCATGGAGAGGAGGGAACATGAAGTGGACAGTAGAGAGGGGGGATGGGTGCAGGCAAGGTGCTAGTTAAGAAGATGCTCTCTGAAGAGCAGGGTCTTCAGGAGTTTCTTGAAAATTGAAAAGGAAGTCGCTGTTCTGGTAGTGCTTGGAAGGTCATTCCACATTTGTGGAACGATGCATGAGAAGAGTCTGGATTGTCCTTAGCGTGGTGTAGGCACTGCTAGCCGACGATCCTGTGATGACCGGAGCGGCCGGGCCGAGACGTAAGCCTTTGCAAGAGGATTCAGGTAGATAGGAGCCGTACCATCTCGGACTTTGTATGCTAGTGTTAGAAATTTGAATTTGATGCGTGCTGCTAGCGGTAGCCAGTGGAGCTCAATGAACAGAGGGGTGACATGTGCTCTTTTTGGCTGATTGAAGACCAAACGCGCTGCTGCGTTCTGGACCATTTGAAGAGGTCTCACAGTACTGCCAGGAAGACCAGTTAGAAGGGCATTGCAGTAATCGAGGCGGGAGATGACAGTAGATTGCACCAGGAGCTGGGTGGCATGTTGTGTTAGGTATGGTCTGATCTTTCGTATGTTATACTGCACAAAGCGGCATGGACGAACAACAGAGGCAACATGATCTTTAAAGCTCAGGTGTTCATCAATCACAACACCCAGATTTCGAACTGCCTTTGAAGGAGCCAGATAGGAAGTCGTTTTGGATTGAGATATTGTGCTGTATGGATGGTTTTGCTGGGGTGACAAGTAGATCAGTTTTAGAGAGGTTGAGTTGGAGATGGTGGGATTTCATCCATTTTGATATGTCAGAGACAGTTTGATATTCGTGCAGAGACAGTGTGGTCGTCCGGTGGAAATGACAGATAGACCTGGGTGTCGTCTGCACAGCATACTAACCACAGAGCAGCTCTAGCCCAGGCTACTGCTAATGCTAGCCTGTGCTACTGCTAATGCAAGCTCAAGCTAATGCACGCCTAAGCTAGTGCTAACACTACCCTGAGCAACTGCTAATGCTAGCCCAAGCTAATGCACTCCTAAGCTAGTGCTAACACTACCCTGAGCTACTGCTAATGCTAGCCCAAGCTAGTGCTAATGTCCTTGTTGGACAAGAGAATAACACCAAAGAAGAACGTCGGAGCACATGTTATGGTCCAGGATGTACTGGGAATATCCAGTCTCTGAATGAATGCCGGATAGATCCATAGTTTGTCTTTTGCGTTATCCTGATATATATATATATATATATATATATATATAATATACAGTGGGGCAAAAAAGTATTTAGTCAGCCACCGATTGTGCAAGTTCTCCCACTTAAAATGATGACAGAGGTCAGTAATTTACATCATAGGTACACTTCAACTGTGAGAGACAGAATGTGAAAAAAAAATCCATGAATTCACATGGCAGGATTTTTAAATAATTTATTTGTAAATCAGGGTGGAAAATAAGTATTTGGTCACTTCAAACAAGGAAAATCTCTGGCTCTCACAGACCTGTAACGTCTTCTTTAAGAAGCTTTTCTGTCCTCCACTCGTTACCTGTATTAATGGCACCTGTTTGAACTCATTATCTGTATAAAAGACACCTGTCCACAGCATCAAACAGTCAGACTCCAAACTCCACTATGGCCAAGACCAAAGAGCTTTCGAAGGACACCGGGAAAAGAATTGTAGACCTGCACCAGACTGGGAAGAGTGAATCTACAATAGGCAAGCAGCTTGGTGTGAAAAAATCAACTGTGGGAGCAATTATCAGAAAATGGAAGACATACAAGACCACTGATATCTGGGGCTCCACGCAAGATCTCATCCCGTGGGGTCAAAATGATCATGAGAACGGTGAGCAAGAATCCCAGAACCACACGGGGGGACCTGGTGAATGACCTGCAGAGAGCTGGGACCACAGTAACAAAGGTCACCATCAGTAACACACTACAACGGCAGGGAATCAAATCCTGCAGTGCCAGACGTGTTCCGCTGCTGAAGCCAGTGCATGTCCAGGCCCGTCTGAAGTTTGCCAGAGAGCACATGGATGATACAGCAGAGGATTGGGAGAATGTCATGTGGTCAGATGAAACCAAAGTAGAACTTTTTGGTATAAACTCAATTTGTCGTGTTTGGAGGAAGAAGAATACCGAGTTGCACCCCAAGAACACCATACCTACTGTGAATCATGGGGGTGGGAACATCATGCTTTGGGGCTGTTTTTCTGCTAAGGGGACAGGACGACTGATCCGTGTGAAGGACAGAATGAATGGGGCCATGTATCGTGAGATTCTGAGCCAAAACCTCCTTCCATCAGTGAGAGCTTTGAAGATGAATCGTGGCTGGGTCTTCCAACACGACAATGATCCCAAACACACCACCCGGGCAACAAAGGAGTGGCTCCGTAAGAAGCATTCGAAAGTCCTGGAGTGGCCTAGCCAGTCTCCAGACCTCAACCCCATAGAAAATCTGTGGAGGGAGTTGAAAGTCCGTGTTGCTCGGCGACAGCCCCAAAACATCACTGCTCTCGAGAAGATCTGCATGGAGGAATGGGCCAAAATAGCAGCTACTGTGTGTGCAAACCTGGTAAAGACCTATAGTAATCATTTGACCTCTGTTATTGCCAACAAAGGTTATGTTACAAAGTATTGAGTTGAATTTTTGTTATTGACCAAATACTTATTTTCCACCCTGATTTACAAATAAATTCTTTAAAAATCCTGCCATGTGAATTCATGGATTTTTTTTTCACATTCTGTCTCTCACAGTTGAAGTGTACCTATGATGTAAATTACTGACCTCTGTCATCATTTTAAGTGGGAGAACTTGCACAATCGGTGGCTGACTAAATACTTTTTTGCCCCACTGTATATCCTGTATATAATTTCTAGGTTCAGGCAGCATCATAGAGCAATCGGAGTAAACTGTCCAGTCACCACGCTGCTCATTTAATATTCATGTTCTGGCTCAGTGGGTGGAGAAGTCTAGTCTTTTCTTTCTAGGGCTTTATGATGGAGTTGTGTTTGGCCATTTATCAGGGCTCCTGGTTCATTGTGAGCCCCAACAAAGTTTCACATGTCGTATAAAAGCTGAAAAAACAGTTAGAAATGTTGTTCTACAACCCTTTATTTAAGGATTTTAGTGCTTTTAGTCTGTATTTTGGTTTGACAGGGAAATGAGAGCGTGTCAAGGCCAGTTCTGTTCTTTTTAGGCCAGGGGTGCCCAATCCTGGTCCTGGAGGGTCGGTATCCAGCAGGTTTTAGTTTTAACCCTTCTTCTACACACCTGAATTCAATCAGCAGGTGATTAACAGGCGTCTGTAGACACTGATGAACTGCTGCACGGGTGATTCAACCTCTGAATCTAGTGTGTTGGAGCAGAGAAACCACAAAACCTGCTGGATATTGGCCCTCCAGGACCAGGATTGGGCACCCCTGGTTTAGGCTTACATGGAAAAAATATGTCCTGGGAGCCAGAAGTGACTCCTGCTGTTATTGAAAAGAGATGAAGTCATTAGGAGCCTGTATTTAAAGTAAAAGTAACTAAACATTTTGGACTAAAATAGACTCTTTTTGTTTCCAGATGAAGAAGGTTGAACATTTTTTCCGGGTGATTTTACTTCTCTCCTTCTGAACACACTCTGATTGTGTTTAGATGCCCCGAGACTGGGAGGAGGTGCGGATAACGGTGATCCGACCAGGACTGATTCCTACCAGCAGCCCCTGTGGAAACACCATCCCAGACGACGACCGACTTATCGTGTCTCTGCCGGCCGGATCCAGGTCTGTGACTCAAACGGACAAACAGTCACACCCATCTGTGAAACTCCGCCTCAGTGCACGCGCCATCTGCCTCTGTTGTCCAGGTTCGTGGTACCTCTTCAGCCTGTGTGTTTGGAGGAAGGTGTGACTTACACGCTTCGGTTTGAGTTCACACGCTATCAAGACGCCAACAGCATCCTCAACGGAGCGGCCTTCGCCGTCATCCTCGTAGACTCTGTGAGACGTTTGGATTCAAGTGTCTGAAATCGGAGTAAATTCCAGTTTTCTTTCCGCACACACGACTGAATCTATTTCTCCAGATTGCGCTGATGCCGCGTCATTCCTCCATGGAGATGTTCAACGCTGGAGATCCTGCCTCTAACATCAGGAAGCAGACCTACGAGCGGTACCGGTGCTATGAGGGGACAAAGAGCGTGATCCGCCCACAGATGAGCGACACCTGTGCCAAACTAATCAGCAGCATGTCGGCTGTTATAAACAACGGAGCTCTGTGTACGGGAGAACCAATGACATCATTTTCTCCTAACGTCTTTGTACTGAAGCACGTTGTGCATGCAACCTGTCTGTTGAGGGGTTCTAAATCCTTACTTTCACTTTTCTGTCTTTGTGCATGTGCAGCTTGTAACTGCGACCCTCAGGGGTCCATCAGCTCCATTTGTGACGTGCGTGGGGGCCAGTGCCGCTGCAGACCCAACGTGATTGGACGACGCTGTGACCAGTGTGCACCAGGAACTTATGGTTTCGGACCTTCAGGCTGCATACGTGAGACATGAACTTTTTGATCCACTTCCTATCTTATCTGGTCTCACATGGCTAGAGAACTCATCCTACATGAAATATTAACACTCAAGAAATCCATTTATTGCCTAATGTTAAAAAACTGTGTGATTAAAAAATTGACTTTTCTTGACCTTGTGCTGAAGTATCCCTCAGTTTAAGTGTCTTTAAATATTTTTTGCAATATTAATAAGGTTATTTTTACAGAGGACTATTCTGTTGAATGACTGTGTTTAATTAGAGATTGGCGCCCTCTGCTGGTTAGGAATGAAAATAACCTGTTACATTAAAAAATCTAGCCTTTTCTCTCATCTTAAATTATTTCTCCCTCGGTTCTCCCTTTCATCTCCTCCTCCCGCTCCACCTGAACTGAACTGTTTACTGTGTGACTGAACTGTTTTTCCTACATGTGTGCAGCCTGCGAATGCAGCTTGGAAGGATCAGCTACGCCACTTTGTGATAAGTTTAGCGGCCAGTGCCAGTGCCATCCCGGGGCGTTTGGCCAACGGTGCGACGGATGTCGGACGGGTCACTGGGGCTTTCCCAGCTGCCGACCCTGCCAGTGTAACGGACACGCAGACCACTGCCAGCAGAGAACCGGAGCGTGCATCAGCTGCAGGGACAACACAGGAGGAGACAAGTGTGAGAGGTGACGTCATCTCTAAACAAACCCTAACCCAGTTGTCACCTTTTTTTTTGAGGGTTGCTCACCTGAAAGCGGGACTCACCTTTTTTTTGTTGTTCCTGTAGGTGTGCCAATGGTTACTATGGTAACCCTGTTTTAGGCACAACACCGGGGGGTCAGTGTCGGCCATGCCCCTGTCCAGATGGTCCTAACAGTGGACGCCATTTTGCCACATCCTGTTACCAGGACAATCGCAACAGACAAGTTATCTGCAACTGTAACCAAGGCTACACAGGTATACCTGAGGCAATTTTCTGTTGAAAACGCTCAAAAAAGCTCAATTTTTATTTAAAAAAGTAATTTTAAACAGAATCAGGTTTTGTTCTTATTTGACTAAATCAAAGTTCACAAAGTCTGCGGCTCAAGTCAGATAATGATGTTTCTTTTTGGACTCCGGTGAATGATAACGGATGTACTACTGGCACAGGGATTGTTAAACGCTCCGGGGCGACCATTTTTAAGCGTGAGTAATCATGGTTGGACCCCACCCCACCCCCCTCCCATGCCCTCTTCCCTCTTTTACGTTTTTTACACGATCATTTTAATCCACCGAGCCAACGCTCCTCCCCACCAGTCCTACCCATGCATGGTGTTAGCAGCCACGATGCACTTCCTCATGGGACCTGGTTGAAAGGTCATTTATTTAGTTGTGCTTGTGTGTGTGTGTGTGTGTGTGTGTGTGTGTGTGTGTGTGTGTGTGTGTGTGTGTGTGTGTGTGTGTGTGTGTGTGTGTGTGTGTTTGCACCACAGGGTGAGACGACTGAGTCTAAACAATGTAAACTCTCCATATGAGCCAGTCGTGAGAAACATCCATAAAGCAAGAACCTATCCAGAATCAGTCTGGTTCAGCTTCTTCTTCTGCTTTTATAGAATATTTTACAGTTTAGCTGTGAATAAATATCAATAAAAGCCAATGTCACGTCCAAGTTTAATCTGTTTATGATTGTTTTTTTCCCATGTTTTAATTTTTGCCTCTGATTTTCTAAACATTGAACCTTCTTCGACAGAACTCCACAAGTTGATGACGCCAGCGGCTGCAGAAGTATCGTTCCCTGACATTTTCTACTTTATTATGCAGCAGCAGCTTGTTGGAGGGCTGATACGGTTAAATGCAGCTGGGATGAAACCTGTAACGTGTCCACGATGGTCTAGTCAGGGTCTAAAAGGAGGATCTGCCCTAAAATAGGTCATGCTTGTGCAGAAGGAAACTTGTGCTGCTCGACGTGCTTCGGGTGAAACTGGATATGTACGACTCTGTTCTGGGAGGTTTTCACTCTTGGAGCCTTTAGGAGAAGAGATCACCTTGGATAACTAACTTTATGGTCCACTAATGAGGACTGGATAATCAACCCCACTGAGTGATGCTCAGTAACAATATAACATCCTGCTTTAACGTGATGATATTTTTGCTTTACAGATTTAGGTCTGGACTAATATACTTGGCCACATGGATATGTATTAATTTAATTCAAGGTGCAACAGGAGATGTCTTTTTTTCCACATTGCTTGAAATGCTCCTTACATACCGACAGCTACCAATAAATTAGACGTTTTGTCAAAAAGTCGTCGTCGTCTTCCTCCGCTTATCCGGGTCCGGGTTGCGGGGGCAGCATCCCAACTAGGGAGCTCCAGACCGTCCTCTCCCCGGCCACCTCCACCAGCTCCTCCGGCAGGACCCCAAGGTGTTCCCGGACCAGATTGGAGATGTAACCTCTCCAACGTGTCCTGGGTCGACCCGGGGGCCTCCTGCCAGCAGGACATGCCCGAAACACCTCCCCAGGGAGGCGTCCAGGAGGCATCCTGACCAGATGCCCAAACCACCTCAACTGACTCCTTTCGATCCGGAGGAGCAGCGGTTCTACTCCGAGTCCCTCCCGAATGTCCGAGCTCCTCACCCTATCTCTAAGGCTGAGCCCAGCCACCCTACGGAGGAAACTCATTTCGGCCTCTTGTATCCGCGATCTCGTTCTTTTGGTCATTACCCAAAGCTCATGACCATAGGTGAGGATTGGGACGTAGATCGACCGATAAATCGAGAGCCTGGCTTTCTGGCTCAGCTCCCTCTTCACCACGACAGATCGGCTCAGCGTCCGCATCACTGCAGACGCCGAACCAATCCGCCTGTCGATCTCCTGATCCCTCCTACCCTCACTCGTGAACAAGACCCCGAGATACTTAAACTCCTCCACTTGAGGTAGGACCTCTCCCCCGACCCGGAGTTGGCAAAAAGTAATAATTAAAATCTCCTCTGAAACATACAATCTTGAAAAAACCTCGTCCGATCATTGTGAACTTCCTTTTCTTAAAGGAGTGGAACACTTGTTTAAACAATACATTTGCAGTGGTCTCTAGTAGGAATGAATGCCTTGTGAGTCGTTCTCAGGGGGAAAGATATACCGACGCACCCTTCCTCTGACCCAAACGTTGCCCACGTCACAGCTGACGGAAGGTTTTAGACCCCCGGACAGCGACACGACTCTACTACTGACTTGAAACGTTGATGTTCTGGGGCGTTGGTGGCGCAGGAGTTAAGTGCTCGCCTCGTAATTGGAAGGTTGCAGGTTCGAGCCCCGCTCAGTCTGTTGCTGTCGTTGTGTCCTTGGGCAAGACACTTAACCCACCTTGCCTGCTGGTGTTGGTCGGAGGGACCGGTGGCACCAGTGCTCGGCAGCCTCGCCTCTGTCAGAGCGCCCCAGGGCAGCTGTGGCTCATCACCACCAGTGTGTGAATGTGTGTGTGAATGGGTGAATGACTGATTGTGTTGTAAAGTGCCTTGGGGGGTTCCAGGACTCTAGAAGGCGCTATATCAAATACAGGCCATTTACCGTTTTTTATCTCCACAAACAACACAAACCTGGAGGAGTTCTGCTGTGTGGTGGAGTTGCTAATGCTAATGGTTAGTTTAAACTAGCTGGATGAGTCCATGAATATTAGTGACAGTGTGACGTAGATCTGTCAGGAATTTTCCAATCCTAGAGTTCCACCGTCTGTTTTCTATCAGAAGCTAACGCAAGAGATAGGTGTAGGAGACTATTTACATGTCCAGCCTGCATGAAACACTCAGAGTGACCCCTTAGAATCAGAAACGGCACTAAAAACATGTTTTTTTAGGCAACCACACCTTTAAAAATTAGATAGTGATCCATTTATCAAACTTCCCTCTGATGTCCCTCCCTCCTCTAAATGCACCTTCTCAGCTTGGAGCAGCCGAACAGGAAGTGAAGCTGGAGCCAGGCTGCCTAGCGTAGTGGACACAATCTGTGCATGTTGGGTTTTACACCACAAAAATGCCACAGTACTGTATATTAGCTAGCATGCTATATTGTTGTACGGATATGTAGTTGTGGTGCGTTAGGAAACATGGCAGAAAAGGTGCCAACAATGAGTGAAAAGGCAAAACTGATCCTAAAGGAGCGAATTTTGCATGTTCCTGTATTCTGGGGGCGTGGCTTGGGGGGGGGGGGGGGGGGGAGATCTTTTCATTGTGTATTTTTTTAATAAGTAGCTTGAATGACAAGAATAACATCTCCTATTCTACCTTTAAACCAAGATTTGTTTCCTTCTGTTCATGCGTCCAAAAATCTGCGTTGGTCACCAAATCTAGCCAACCGTCTTGCATGTTTCAGATGCTTCCTTGCTCCAGTACACCTGATTCCGTGGTTGCACTCCAGCCTCAGTAGGTCAAGGTTTGCAAAAGATGGATCACCAATTCATTTGAATCAGGTGCTGAAGCAGAAGAGCTTGTACAACACAGAGGCTGTGGCGACCCTTAGTGACCCCTGCCTGGGCATGTTGGATGGAAATCAGTGTGTGTGCTGATATTGTAACTGTTTCCTGTTTTTACTTCCCCTGCTTAGGTGCTCGATGTGAGGAATGCGCCCCAGGTTATTATGGTAATCCCTCTCAGCCGGGAGGGCGCTGCCAACCTTGTCAGTGCAACAACAACATAGACATGTCAGACATGGACGCTTGTGACAGGCAGACTGGAGAGTGCAGGAAATGTCTTTACAACACAGAAGGACCGAACTGTGGCATCTGCAAGAGTGGATACTTTGGGGATGCGTCCAGACGAAACTGCAGGAGTTAGTGCTATTTTATTTTTAAAATAACTCTGCCAAGGTAAAACCTTAAATACTTTTTGTTGATGCAATAGTTCTTTTGTTTTAGAGTGCACGTGCAACTTTCTGGGTACTGAGCACAGTCAGTGCATAGAGCGGGAGGACTGCGTGTGCCAGCGCGCCTCAGGCCAGTGCCAGTGTTTGCCGAATGTCGTAGGGCTGACGTGTGACCACTGCGCCCCAAACCATTGGAATCTGGCCAGTGGGATGGGCTGTGAGTCCTGCAGCTGCGACCCCAGTAACTCTGTAACGTCCTCCTGTAATGAGGTAGGAAGGTCACACAAGCAGTGCTTTGGCCGAGAAGGTTGTTGGTTTTAGACCATCCCAAAAAGCTCTCAAGATTTAAAACATCAATAATTCCTCAGGATACAATTTATAGCAATAACATAACCTGTTATGTAATGTTTCTCTATAATTATTCTAATTTCTCACTCAAATATTTTCTCTCCAAAGACAATAAACTTAGAATATTTACCAGTATGCTAACAGAGCCACATAGTTAAAAACACAGCTGATCGAAGAGCTGTACAATAAAAGCAGACTTAAAATAGAGTCAATAAAACACAGGGCGAGAGAAAAACCATCATGGAAATCAGTTTCCAATAGCCACTGGAGGCGAGTGACAGGGTGTCTGTCTGACAGAAAGGGAGGAGAATGTCCGAAGGGCAACAAACATAAAGGCTGTGATCAAAGTCAAAGTCCCATAAGTTGTCACACACACTGATGTGTGTGCGAAATTTGTTCTCCGCATTTGACCCATCCCCTGGGAGAGCGGTGAGCTGCAGACACAGCTGCGCTCGTGAACCATTTGGTGGTTTAACCCCCCAATCCAACCCCTTAATGCTGAGTGTCAAGCAGGGAGGCATTGGGTCCTATTTTTTCAAAGTCTTTGGTATGACCTGGCCAGAAATCGAACCCTGATCTCCCAGTCTCAGGGCGGACACTCTACCACTAGGCCACTGAGCTGTGGGTATGCGGATTAACAGGACAAATAGAATGGGGCAAGACCATTCAAGGCTTTAAAATCAAAGGTCAGGACCTTTAAGTTCACCTGAAAATGAATTGGGAGCCAGTATAGATGATCCAGGACAGGAGTGATATGGTGTCGATGATTAGTGTTTGTCAAAAACCTGGCAGCTGCATTCTGTACCCCCTGCAGCCTTTTAAGGGCCGAGGGTTGAGTTAGCGTAATCCAGGCGTGATGTAATAAAAGCGTGTATGACCCACTCTAAATGCAGCTGCTTCATAATCTGTTTAAAACCCCTTTCACACTAGCATCAACTCCACTCCACCTGGATAGCATAGAGAGTGTTCACATTAGCATAGCCTGCCTTTTTTCAGGGTGTAACTGGACTGATTTTCAGCACTCTTCCTGAGGTGGTCTGCTTCGGGCTGACCAGGGCCAACACACCCACTGCTGACTGATAAGCCGGCTCAAATTCACACCTTCCAATAGGGGAAGCCTTCGATTGGTGGGTAGAATCCGCCCACCTGGGTATACGGCATTATCGTGCTGATTACCTAGGAGCTGATAACTTCTCTCACAGCATTCCTTGTGTTCCTAAGCAAGAATGTGTGGAATCAGCTGGGCTGGGCTGGGGCTATCTGGGTGGTGTGGAGCTGATGCTAGTGTGAAAGAGGCATTAGACGAGCAAGGCGGACCAGCCGGATGAAACATGTTTTAACAGTGGCATAGATCCGGGGGGGCTATTGAAAGGTCCACATCCAATTTGACCCCAAGGCTGATCACAGATTGCTTGAACTAGGAGGGTGGGTGAGAGGGATTATGAGGGTCAAAAAGAACCGCTTCAGTTTGGACTCATTTAGCTTCAAGAGGTTTGCAGCTCACCAACTCCTCGCCTCTGATAGGCAGTCGTGAAGGAGGGGGGCAACATTTGGTCTGTTCAGAGCCGAGCTGATGTGATGTGCATCTGTTTCTGTGCTTTACAAAGTTCACCGGCCAGTGTCAATGCAGGGAAGGATTTGGAGGAAAGACCTGCACCGACTGCCAGGAAAACTACTGGGGCAACCCCAGGACGCAGTGCAGAGGTTAGAACCTCATAGGAAGTATAACCGTTATGAGGATCCTATCAGAATCATCATTCTTTGTCCCCGTCCTCTCCCGTTTCCCTCTCTAGCTTGTGACTGCGACTGGCGTGGGATTGAGACCTCCCAGTGCCACCGAGTGACTGGTCACTGTGTCTGCCAGCAGGGGGTGTCGGGGGTTCGCTGTGACCAGTGTGCCAGAGGTTTTGCTGGTGTTTTCCCCAACTGCCAGCCCTGCCACCAGTGCTTTGGGGACTGGGATCGTGTCGTGCAGGTGCAGCTTTGTTCTTGGTAAACAGAATCAGCTATAGCCCTCGTCCTTCATGCTTGCCCTCACATTAACAGGACTTGGCAGTGCGCACGAAGACTCTTGCCGAGCGTGCACATGAGATTCAAACCACTGGGCTCACCGGTCCCTATGAGAAAATCTTCATAGAGCTAGAGGAGAAACTGGCACAGGCTCAGAGCATCGTGAATGCACGTAACGCCACTGCTGCAGCTGTGTCGGTCCTGATGGAGCTCATCGAGGATCTTAGGTAAGGTTGTTGTATTCCAGCTCAAGGATTTCCTCCCAAAAGGTTAGACATTTGCATAAATTCATGACTGGTTTCCAAAGAGCGCACATCGGTGAGACAACGGAGACCTTAAACCGTCTGGAAGGAGACTTGACCATCGTCCAAGACAGGAACTCTGATGCGAGCAAGGAGCTGAGTGCTCTGGAAAGAGAGGCCAAAGAGCTGAACCTCACCTCGGCGCAGCTTCACCACCAACTAGATGTCCTAAAAAACTCCAACTTTTTAGGTGAGACTAAAGACAGAATTTTTTTTTCCTTTCATGTCTGTCCTCTCGTTCTTCCTTTTTCTTAATCAAATTTTCAGAGAGATCTTCAGATGTCATCCAGCTTTAGTGACCTTGTGATCCCTTCTTTCCTCCAGGGGCGTACGACAGCATCCGGAGCTCCTACAACAGGTCTCGTGACGCAGAACGACGCGCTAACGAATCGACCACCACCAGGCCGAGCACCATCAGCCAGTCTGCAGACACCCGCCGCCGAACCGAGCGCCTCATCGCTGCGAAGAAAGACGACTTCAGTCGTAAGAACACTGCAAACAAGCGTGTGCTGGGAGACCTCAATGCCAGAGCCCAGCGCCTCGACATGAAGAAAATCAATGAGAAGGTAGATTTGAAGCAGCAAACCGGAGTTTCCCCTTCAGGAAGAATCATGTAGGATTTTTAGATTTTTCCAAGCCCCGCTCCTCGCTGCTCAACATTAGCCAAAAGCATTAGACTTTTGCTAAGAGTGTGCGTTTGAGGACATATCTAGATTGATCGAGTTGGTGAATTTTCTTGTGGAGTCTTTAAAATATGAATAAACAGCAGAACACGAGAATAATAATTGTGTCTTAGCTCACAGAGGGAGGGGCTTAAGCTGCAATACACGTTTCAGCCTCTAGATGGTGCCCTCTGACAAAAAAACTCCAGGGATGTTTCTCAATGCCAAGGAACCTTGCCATGATGTCTTGGCCCCGCCCCGGTTTCCTAGGAGATACGTCATCAGGAGCCGCCAAGACATGTTCCAATGTTCATGTTCTACCGAGGTGTGTGTTCTCCATTTGTTAGCTGTTTAGCTAGCTGAGCAAGGACACACGGGAGGTGTCTTGTAGCCTAGCCTTGGTCAAAAATTACCCAGAATGCACCGTGGTATTTTCAAAAAGACGGCGGATCAGAAGCCAGCGGCTACTTCGGGGACAATTTTCAAGTTTAAAAGTAAGTCAGCTAATTTAAAATGTTTTTTTTAGATCCAAAGAAGTTATCTATGGTTGGTTAGTTGCTTAGTAGTTGCAGCTTCGGTGGCTAGCGGGAAGTAACTCACTTATATATTTAATTTAATAAACATGTACACAATTTAAAAAGTAAAAGTCTCGTTATATATTTATATTGAAACTAATACGTATAAAATATAACGTTATCTCCTGTGTCACTTGAGTTACATGCTGGGACGTAATTTTGGGGGGGGACGGGTGGGACATGTCCCCCCCACTTTTTCAAAAGGCAGTTTTGGTCCCTTGCACTTTTTTCCGTCCAAAAACAATGTTACGCTCCATTAAATGGATTTGGTTGAGCACTAGGACCGAAACGGAAACCGGTTTACTATTAGACCCGCCCAAAATCTAATTTATTGGCTTTGCTGATACTTGCTAACGTATTATTGGCTGTTGCTGCTGTCACTCAAGTTGTAAACAGTCAGAACGTGCTCACGTTGTTTTGCTAGTTTGGAGCCGCTAGGGAACACCAGTACTGAGTCACATCGTCAACTAGACGCTGTGTAATATCAGAGCTCAGCTCAGCTTTCATTACATAACATTTGAATAAGTGTTCATTTGTGAGTCTTTGGTAGTTAGGCACAGCCAGGAGGCAGCATGTCAAGAAAACGAAAAGTGGATATAAGAGACTTCTTTCAAAGTCAAAATGTAAGTTGGAACATGTGACACCCCTGCATTAAGCTCAGACTCACCTCCTCCTTCACACACAAACTCAAAACTAACTTTTACAAACTCATCTCCTCCACATAACTGACTCCTCAGACACAATTTATTCGTATTATTATAATTATTATTATTTTTATTATTACTATTATCATAATTATTATTACTAGTAGTAGTAGTAGTAGAAGTGTAACTTCAAAACTTTTATCATGTAACTTTATTGTAAACCTATCTATTGCAATGTATATTTTCACATTAAAAAGCTCTGAAAAATGAACAGTATCATCATCGTCAACAGATTTTTTAAGCTTAATGTCAAAGATGTACACTTTTAATTAGATTTATCTTATTTTTTCCATTTATTTTTTGTGTGTTGAAATGCAACAACTGTTTAAACACTTTTAAGGGAAAAACATATTTAATATGTTTTTATACACTCAAATGTTAGGGTGATGATCATGTGTAAAACATTAGTTCAGCATGTCCTCTAACACAGCAAATGAACAAACGGCCAGATCTCAGGAGGGACCGTTAATGTATAAATAATTTTTATACTTTTGACTAGGCCTGGGAAAGTAACAAATTTTGCTGGACGATATTTTGTCCAACAAATTGTTGATGATAAACGATATCATTGCCAACATTATCTAGACCAAAATAACCACTAATATAATGTTAATATATCATAATAATGCAAGTACACCCTTTAAAATGCAACAAATAAACCTTCATTTAACATTGAAATATCCAGAACCAGAACTTCTAAATGAATAAAAATAACAAACAAAAATTAAATAAAAAAGGAATCTCACTCCCTGTTAGAAAATGTTGCACCAAAAACAATAAAAAAAAGACCCAAAACAATAAATACAATGGCCTATCCATTGTCAACAGCCAAAACTGCACTTCAATAATGATAATAAATAAAAATAATAATAGAGTTGTACATTTTTTAACTTTGATATATATATATATATATATATATATATATATATATATATATATATATATATATATATATATATATATATATATATATATATATTGAGGATGGAAAAATTATTGAGATGGGCACGTGACGTGTCAAGGGGTCTTTACATAACACCCCCCACCCCAAATCCGCACAAGCCTGCTGTGTCCCCCCCACTTCTGAAATCAAAATTTCGTCCCTGGTTACATGACCACCGTGGAATCCGCGGTCACGTGATGCAAGTCTGTTCCATTTAACCGTTTTCTTCGACGAAGGAAGGACAGTGTCCTCGTAAGCAAGGCGCCTGGCCTCGCAAGACATCGCCTCGCAAAGCAAGGCACCATGACATTGAGAAACACCCCAGATTTCTGCTTTAAGGCTCAATTGTTTGCAGCACTTCTCTCAATAAAGTTTGGTAAGATTTCCCACGTAAACGTTTGCATTGCCACTAACAGGTGTGCGGCTCCTTGGGTGATGCTCCTTGCGGAGAGAGCCCGTGTGGAGGAGCAGGTTGCCGTGACGACGAAGGGAACCGTCACTGCGGAGGCCTGAACTGTGGCGGAGCCGTGGCAGCAGCTGACGGTGCTCTGGAGAGAGCCAGACATGCAGAGAAGGAGCTGAGCGAGGCTATGGGGGAGATGCAAGGACTTTTTACTAAGGTGTGTAAATGTGTGTGTCTGTTCCCGGAATCCAGGCTTTGCTGTTTTTACTTAGAAATGTAAGCAAATAGTTGTTCATTTGGCTTTAAGAGTCCAGATTCTAACAGCCAAGGTCTGCAGTCAAGATGAATTTACGGTTACAACCAAATTCTTCCGGCTCTTGGAGAGTACAGACGCTTTTTTCCTCCTCTCCTCCCTATCTTATCCCAAGGCTCTTTGTCTGTCTCTGGGTGTACGGCGCTTCTGCATTTTTTCTGGCAACTGGAAACTGGAAATGATTAAAAATGGACCTGGTCAGCTGGTCTCTCAACGCGATTGACAAAATTTTCTCAACGATGAGAACGGGAGAAGACGCTCTCGGTTACCCCTCTGTGACAGATCCAGTTGGGCACATCATGGACTCCTGGAAACAGTGGAACCTGATTTGCTTATCTCAGCTGTCTGTAGAGGATTCTGAAGACGTGTGGATGTTTGTGGTGTTGGTGTCTGGTTTCCTGCTTTTTGGCCTGAGTGGTTACCCGGCTTACCGGAAAATTAACGAGCTATCGAGGAATATTGGCTATTTCCCGGAGCTCAGGGATGGATTACACCGCGCTGTGAATGCACAGACTCATATAATTGTCGAGGTAAGTCGTAAGCTTGGAACTTTGGCTGAGATTCATACATTGGCACAAAAGATGGATGCGATCAAGGAGCGAGTGGACATATCAGCACGGATTGGGATAGTTTAATTACACCATTATTGAATTCAGAGAGGTTGAGGACCAACAGAACTTTAAGACAGAGAGGAAATTATCTCTGTCTGGCCCCAAAACAATTTCTTATCTGAATCTGGTGCCCTTGAGACTGTGAGGCAAAAACGAATATCCCTCCCCCCCAGAAGAAATGTTGAAATGCTGCCGTCGCCATGGCGACTCTGTCTCCCTATCCCAGACTGGGCGGGACTGTGATCGGTGAAGGCCGCTGAATCGTTCCAGGAGTCACTGTGCTCTCTATACCCAACTACCTCCTTCTCCTGTCCAAGCGGAGGTGACGAGCGTTGCTTATGGCGGCTGCTGCTGCTTACGTGTGGAGAGTCCCCCACCCTACCACCCCACCTAGTGGACACTTATGTTGTGTAGTGTCTGAAGTCTGTTGCATTTCTGTCTGAGGTGTTTTTTGCATAGCAAAGCTGTGGAGGTTAACTCTGAAGTTCCTTTTTTCCCTCCACCTGAACCAATCCTCATGTAAACCCTCTGATCTCTATTAAGGTAGCGCGACTCAGGGTTGCAAATGACCACAGTCACTGATTCTTGTCATGTGTCTATGCCTATGTGTGTCTGATCTCATAATTGTGTGTACTGAAACTCTAATTTCCCTCTGGGATTAATAAAGTATCTTTGAATTGACGAATTGAAGTGAATTTGAATTCTGATTTAGTTGAGGGTTTAGTGCAATGCTGCTTTACAGCTAAAACAAAAGAGAGAAACTTTGTGTTCTCTCTTCATGCTGTATGTAACCATCATCACTGACAGAAAATGTGAGGTTCTTCTTTCATAATCTTGTTTTTTTTTTCCCTGCAGGTGGCAGAAGCTAAGTCTCAGGCAGAAGAGGCAAAGGGAAAAGCTAAAGCTGCTCTGGATAAAGCCACCGCCACAAAAAACAAAGTGGAACGCTCCAACAATAACCTCAGAGACCTCATCAAACAGATCAGGGGGTTCCTTACTCGTGAGTCTATGATGGTCCAGGAACAAACCGTTTGATGCTCATGTTAGTCTCCGGTGCTAACGCTAACGCTCGTTTACTACTGACAGAAGAAGGAGCGGACCCGGACAGCATCGAAGCGGTGGCGAACCACGTGTTGCAGCTCTCCATCCCTGCTTCGCCCCTCCAGATCAGACATCTCGCAGATGAAATCAAAGATCGAGTCCGCAGCCTCTCCAACGTGGACGCCATCTTGCAGCAGACGCAGGATGACGTCCGCAAAGCGGAGAAGCTGCTGCTGGACGCTAAGCGGGCTAGGTGACTAAAGCAGGGTCAGATTTAAAATTACCGCATCCATGGGATTAATTTGTTGTTACGTTTTGTTGTTTTTAAGGCATCATTCTGAGGGAGTGAAGACGACAGCAGAGACGGTGAAGCAGGCCTTGGTGGACGCAAGAACAGCCCAGGCTTCGGCTGAGAAAGCTATCGCTAAAGCTAAAGCTGACATCGGGGAGACTGAGTCTCGACTGGCACAGGTTATCCTCAAAAACATTTTGGGCGTTGAGTGTTTAGCCGTCAGATGTGTGTCACTTTGCTTCATTAAAAACAACGCATCCAACACCTTCACCTGGAATGTGAGAAAATGTGAAAAACACGAACATTTCAGAAAAAGACGTGATTAAAGAAAGCAAATGTATGGTTTTATTAGGGGAGGTGGTCTCCCCTGGAGGTGCCAGTGGAGTGACCAACAATTTTCCAGGGGTGGCTATGCCCCTCGGCCACTTATGGTGGGCACCACTAGGATCAAATAATCAGGTCCCTTATTTACACCATATGCAGATTCGGTCGGAAGCATCCGACGGTGAGAGGAACCTGGATGACGCAGTGGTCCGCCTCGGCACGCTGGAGCAAGAGATCAACGTCCTGAAGACCAAACGGGCCAACAACAGCATGGCGGCGGCCAGAGCCGAGGAGACGGCCACGATGGCTCGAGAGAAGGCAAACGAAGCCAAGCAGGTTAGTGTAAAGTCTCATCATCTCCATATCTCACCAGGTTGGCAGTTAGTTGGAGACACAAAATGGTGAGAAGATACGAACATTTTCCATTGGAATCATAATAAATAGTTCTGTACGTTTTCCACGAGGGGATTGTGATGTTAATGCAAACTCATTTGTGAGAATACTGTCCAAATGTTCTTGTTTACTTAATTATTTACTTACTTGCTTATTTACATATTGACTTATTCACTCACTCACTTACTTATTCACTTACTTGTTTACATAATTGCCTATTTATTTACTTGTTTAATAACTTGCTTATTTAGGTACTTGTTTACTTATTAGCTTACTGACTTATTTATGACCTTGTTTACTTACTTGTTTATTTAATTGTTTACTTACCTACTTGCTTACTTACCTGTTTACTTTCTTATTTATTTATTTACTTACTTGCTTATTTATTTACTTGTTTAATTACTTGCTTATTTGTGTACTTGTTTACTTATTTCCTTACTGACTTAGCTATTGACTTACTTGCTTATTTAATTGCTTACTTACCTGTTTACGGACTCACTTACTTGTTTACTAACTTATTTATTTATTTACTGACTGACTTATTTATTTACTTATAATAATAATAATAATAATGCATTTAATTTATAGGCGCCTTTCAAAACCCAAGGTCACCTCACAAAACATGATAAAACTTACACACAAATAAGAATAAGATAATTTAAACAATAAAATTACAAAAAGTATGCTCTAAATTTCAGAGTAAAGAGTTTGTGGGCTAGAGAGTGTAAGCCAGGTTGAACAGGTGAGTTTTGAGTTTGGATTTGAATGAGAGGAGGAAGTCAGTGTTTCGGCTGTCAGGAGGAAGTGAGTTCCAGAGCCGAGGAGCAGAGCGACTGAAAGCTCTGTTTCCAGCGGTGGTGAGACGAGCGGGAGGAACCACAAGGTGAATGGCAGAGGAAGACCTGAGGGAGCGAGATGGGACAGCAACATGGATGAGATCGGAGAGGTGAGGAGGGACGAGACAGTGGATACATTTGTAGGTGAGAAGCAGGATTTTGAATGAGATTCTGTGTTCAGTAGGCAGCCAGTGGAGACGCTGAAGAACAGGGCTGATGTGATCTCTATAGGGGGTACGAGTGATGATCCGTGCAGCAGCATTTTGGAGGAGTTGGAGCCGATGGAGGGATTTATGGGGGAGATCAAAAAGGAGAGAGTTACAGTAGTCAGTCCTAGAAGTGACTAGGCTGTGTACGAGGATGGCTGTAGCATGAGGAGTGAGAGAGGGATGGAGACGGTTGATGTTGTGTAAATGAAAGTAGGCTGAGCGAATGATGTTGTTGATGTGGGCTCTGAATGATAGAGTGCTGTCAAGGATGATTCCAAGACCCTTTACATGGGTGGAAGGAAGGATGGAGGAATTTTTTGTGTTAATTGATATGCTGGGAGATATGTTCAGCGTGGAGGGTTTGCCTATGTGTAGAATTTCCGATTTATTGCAGTTGAGTTTCAGGAAGTTTGAAGAGAACCATGATTTTATCTCAAGGAGACAGCTGGATAGGGAGACTGGAGGGAAGATAGCATCGGGTTGAGAGGAGATATAGGTTTGAGTGTCATCTGCGTAGAAGTGGAAATTTATCTTGTATTTGCGAAAGATATGGCCAAGTGGGAGAATGTAGATGATAAATAAGAGAGGTCCAAGGACAGAGCCCTGGGGAACACCGGCAGAAACAGCAACAGGGTGAGAAGGAATGGATTTTAATTGAACAGACTGAAATCGGCCAGTGAGATAGGAGGAGAACCAGGTGAGAGCAGTGTGAGTGATTCCAAGGGAAGCTAACCGGTTAAGAAGGGTTGAGTGAGAGATCAATCAATCAATCAATCAATCAAAGCTTTATTTATAAAGCGCCTTCCGCAACCCTGTCAGGAAGCCCAAAGCGCTGAACATGGTACAGTTGTAAGTAATTATACTGAATAAATCAACAATAAAAGAAATTCAAATTACAAAATACAAATTACAAAATACAAAATGGAAATAACAAGATAGATGAAACATTCCGGTAAAATACAAATGTGTGAAACACAATTGGATTGAGTGGATGGATTGAGTGTACCAATGAAAACTGTGGAATGGATTCAACATAATAGAGGGCCATAATCAAACATGTTCTGGAAACACCAAGTGGAGGAGGTGTGTTCTTAGGTGATTCTTAAAGACTGGCAGAGAAGGGGACAGCCTAACTGAGGGTGGCAACTGGTTCCAGAGTAACGGTGCTAGGACTGAGAAAGCCCGGTCCCCACGGGTACGACACCTAGACCGAGGGACAGCGAGCAGGCCTTGGTCAGAGGAGCGCAGAGCGCGTGATGGGGAATGTCTGTTCAGGAGTGTGGCCAGATAGGGGGGAGCACCACCCTGGAAGAAATGATAAACAAAGACGAGTATTTTGAATTGTGAGCGATAGGAAATCGGAAGCCAGTGCAGGGAGGCCAGAACTGGACTGATGTGGTCCCGTTTCCTGGTCCCAGTCAGGAACCTGGCAGCGCTGTTCTGCACAACCTGTAGGCGATGCAGTGTTGACTGACACAACCTTGCATATAGAGAGTTGCAGTAGTCAAGCCGAGAAATTACAAAGGCATGCAGTACCCGCTCCAGGTGGGCTCTCGACAGCATATGCTTGATTTTAGCAAGGCGTCTCAGGTAAAAGAAACTGGACCGGATCACAGAATTGATGTGAGCATCAAATTTAAGTCCTACATCAAGTTTCAGCAGTGTGAAAGATGGTGTCGAAAGCTGCACTAAGATCAAGAAGGATGAGTCGAGAAAGAAAACCGGAGTCAGCTGCCATGAGAAGGTCATTTGTGATTTTAACAAGAGCTGTTTCTGTGCTGTGTCGAGGGCGAAAACCAGACTGGAACTGTTCAAAAAGGTTGTTAGGATTGAGGTGGGAGATGAGCTGAGGAGCAACTACTTTCTCAAGGATTTTAGAGATGAAAGGTAAATTAGAGATTGGTTGAAGGTTATTGAAGTTATTGGGATCAGAGCCAGGCTTTTTTAGAATAGGTGTGACAGAAGCTGTTTTGAATGCTGAGGGAACATAACCAGCTGTGAGAGAAGAATAGATTATAGATGAGATTGAAGGGAGTAAGGAAGGGAGACAGGCTTTGACAAGAGAAGTGGGAAGAGGGTCAAGTCTGCAGGAGGAGGGTTTGGACTTGTGAATCAGGTCAGAAATATCAGTGATGGAGGGAATCGAAAAAGCTGAAAGAGGATAAATGGGAGGCAGAGAGGAAAGATGGAGTTTTATTGGAAAGGAAGTAGATTGTTTGGTGTCCAGCTGTTGGAGATTTTTTGATCGAAAAAAGACTAAATTGAATTACAGAAGTCATCAGAGTAAAAGAAAGAAGGAAGTGAGTCTGGGGGGCGGGTAACATTGTTGAGAAGAGAAAAAAGAGACCTAGGATTTGAGTTTGAACAGATTAGAGCAGAATAATAGGAGTTTTTAGTAGCGCTGATAGATTCTTTGTAGAAAAGGATGTGATTTTTATACATTTCTTCATGAACCGAGAGACCAGTTTTTTTGTAGAGGCGCTCAAGTTGTCGTCCTTTTACTTTTAGTTGGCGAAGAGCAGGAGTGAACCATTGGGCTGAGTGGGAAAAGGAGGCAGTACGGTGTTTTTCAGGAGCAGTTGAATTCAAAAGGTCAGAGAGGTAGTGGTTGTAATGGGAAACCAGGCCATCAGGAGACATGGGGTCATGCGGCTGAGGAAGGTCCCGGATGGCAGCGGAGAAAGAATGTCCTTGATGTTCCTGAAGGTGATAGTCCTAGTAGTGGAGATTTTGTCCATAGGTAGGTTTACAGTGAAGGAGATGAGTTCATGGTCAGAGAGGGGGAATAGCTCTGCTTTCAAACCAGAGGGCGTCACCCCAGAGCAGCAGGCCAGGACCTTTACAGTGGGTGGGAAAGCTGATGTACTGTTGGAGATCAAAATTATCCAGGACAGAAAGGAAGTCTCTGGTCAGGGGGATATTTCCATTATCAATTTGAATGTTGAAATCTCCAAGAATTACGACATTGGGAGAGAGCAGGAATAGATGAGTGAGGAGGGCAGATAAATCACCCATGAAGTCCTTGTTTGGTTTAGGAGGTCGGTAGACACTGCAGATGATGGTAGGGGTGGGGCCAGAGAGCTGGGAGGCGCTCATGGAGGCGCGGTATTCAAATGACTGGAAGGATGGAGCAGAGACTGGGAGGATCTTCAGCTGTTTGCGGCGAATCATTGCGAGACCCCCGCCCCTATCAGTGGAGCGAGGCTGCGAGATGTAAACAAAGTCGGAGGGAGTAGATTCGTTAAGATTTATAAAGTCATTAGGCTGCTGCCACGTTTCAATCAGACAGAAAATGTCCAGGTTATGATTGCGGATGAGACTGTGGATGAGAAGACCTTTGCCCGTGAGCGAGCGGATGTTTAGTAGGCCAAAGTTAAAGGTGGAGTTAGCAAGCTTTGGTATGGGGTTAGCCAGGCTAGCGAGAGGGGTTAACAAGTTGCGATGGACAGCCTCGGAGTTACCAGAAATGGAGTTGCGTGAAGGGCGACGGGATGTGGACCAGATGGATCTTATTGAGTGAGTGTCATCATGGATAAAGTTGTGCCGGGACCCACGATGGACATATTTGCTACGAGGTTTGAGAGCGATGTCCGGGAACTAGAGGAGAGCCGCAGGTGGGGGGACCGCCAGGTGAGCACGGAGCCGGAGAAGCTCAGATGACAGATACTGGATCAGTGCCGATGATGGATGAAGGAAAATGGAGAGGACAGCCCAGGTGAGAACAAACCAGCGAAACAGTCTGCAGCTTGTAAGCATCTTAGCTGAGAGTAGATATATGGCAAGGTGTGGATGAGGTAGGTGTCATACGCGCCGGTGGACGAAGCGGAGACAAGGTGAGGATCCAACGCGGGTGGAACAAACAGGCAGGCAAGTGGGAACGATTAACACAGGTTTATTAAGCACGCTGACACTGGAACAATGAACCGACACAAGACACAGAACAGAAGGGGTTTAAATACAGGAGGACCGGGAGCAAAGGTGATTGGGAAAACGAGAGGCAGGTGGGAGTAATCAACGAGACACAAAGCTGAACCCAAGGGCGTCAGTTTGTTTTCAGAATTGCTGGGGACAATAACCATACACTTGAGTGGGATTTAAAAATTGCTGGGGACAATAAAGTAGGCTAGCACAGGGGTCGGCAATCCGCGGCTCTGGAGCCGCATGCGGCTCTTCCATCCATCTGACATCTGTGCTTGTAAAATAATGAATGGATATTTAAATAAAATGATTTATATTTTACTGCATTAATTTTACATCTGTATGCCAATTCTAAATGTAAAGATTGTCTGCGTAAACCTGAACAGGTCCAACCCGGTCTTACTGTGAGACCGGGTTGACGCGTCACGCTTGTGCGTAATCATATAGGCACTTTATGAGCTGAAGACAATGTGAGATTCTGGGATTCTCCTCAGACGGCTCCTGGATGTGTCGCCACATTGGAGACAGGAACAAGCGCTATTCAGCCAAAGTTTCATAATCAGGGAACATTTTCTAAGTGACAAGTCTCTCTGAGAGACTGGGTTTGGAAAACACTCGCTTCAGTGGGAGGAACCTTCCCACATGCGCTCTGGTTCTCTGGGTGGCTCTGGGGTTAATCAAGTTTAATTGTTTCTCTTTGCAACAATCTTCACAGGAAGGCAAAACAGTTAAACGGCAGGTTACATATATTTCCATTTGACTGTTTATTTTGACAGATGAACTCAAGGATGTTGCTTGGTTTGAAAGAATTACCCAGACGCACACGGATGCGCATGGATGAGCTGATATTTTAATCGTTACACACATCGCGGAGGTAAATTATTCCCATCAGAACATCAGAGCTTTATACTGGACTGTTCAGCGCGGCTCGGAGCGCCCACGGTGGACAGTGAGCTGAAGATCTGGGGTTCGCAGCGCAGTGCAGAACCACGGTGCATGCGATAAGATTTCCTCCCACTGCAACAGTCTGGAAACCCGGTCTCTCTGAGGGATGTGTCACTTGGAAAAATGTTCTTTTTATGAAATTATGAAACTTTGGCTGAACAGCGCTTGTTCCCGTCTCTAATATGGAGACGCATGATGCGTAGAGACATTTGATAGCGCACAAAGTTCGTGTGGAGCAGAAGCGATCGGGCCACGGCAGGTGAAATGTTCCTAGCCTACATGAAGTGAAACTGTTTAATTGTAACATTAATGTGTTACTGGACACGCTGGTCTGGTTGGTTAGATCAGTGTTTGAAGTGGAAAACACACACACACACACACACACACACACCAATTAAAACAATGCCGATAGCGTGGACTAGAAGACAGGTGATGGTTTACGTATTTAAATGATGATCAGGCTGCTGTAAAATGTAATCTCCATCCACATCCAGACACAATTATCCTCTATTCTTTCTTTATTTGCTCTGCTCTTGTCTGGGCTGATCAGCTGATGGAGCGCGCGGCGCGTCTAACTAGCGGCTGACGCACATTTTACGCATTTGGAGAGGTGGGCTGCAGCTTTGCTTTTACTGGAAGATGGTCCACTTAACGCACGGGTGTAGACTACATATTAATGACAAATGAATGAAAATTAAATTGTGAGTTTTTACTTCATATTTTATAAATAAAAATGACGGGGGAACACGTTTATGACGTCTTTTTAAACTAAATTTTCTAGCGCGACCTGCCTGCTTCACTAAGTCACTGCTTATTAAGGTCCGTCCAAAATTACCGTGGGAAACGGGTAATAATGGCTCTTTGATGGGAACAGGTTGCCGACCCCTGGTATAAGATCTGAGCTGGTAAAACAAAAATCCTCATCAGCAGGCGTTTTTGAAAGTGGGGGGGGACACAGCTGCCAATCACAAATTTTGCCAGGGACATGTCCCCGGCGTCCCCGGTTAAAATGACGCCTATGGCTGAACCAAACAGGGAGACAGGACAGGGTGTGATAGTAGGTAGGGCGTTGTCCAGGTGGTACAGGGACCAAGAGGCCTCTGGTACACACAGCTAATTAAAGAAAAATACCGACATCCAAATCAGAGATTAAAAACAGATAAAAAAATAAAAACAGATAAAAATAAAATCAGGTAAAACCGTCTAAATTTAAAGCGGATAGGAAAGACCAGAGAGCAGTGGCAGCCAAACGTGCCAGCGTCCACTCAGCAGGTGCAGAGTTAACTTGTTTACTAATTCACTCACTTACTTGTTTACTTACGTGCTCATTTATTTATTTACTGACTTACTTCTTTATTAACTTTTTTACTTACTTACATACTCACTTATTTGTTTACTTGCTTATTTATTTATTTACTGACTTATTTATTTACTTGTTTACTTACATACTTACTAGTTTACTTACTTGCTCATTTATTTAACTACTTATTTTGAGCAACAATGCAAGATTAATACAACAAAGCAGATAAGCACCAAAACAACTACACACATATATTTTAATAAATACAGTGCTATCAAAATAAAAGCATGTAATTTAGGAATTCTAATGTTTTTTATTCATTATTTTGCCTCTGTCTGTTTGCAGTTTGCCCTCATTTTATTCCCATTTGGATCACCCACCCTACTAAAGTTGTCTTACATCTCTGACTCACTTAAACTAAACTGAAAAGGATTCGAGACGAGCTCCAGATTACTCCGAATATTTTGACAAAACAATCATTTTCTAATTTTTAACCCCTGTGAAAGATTAAAAAACCTTTTGCAAACCCCCGTCCCACCTGGTTATATGCTGGCTTTAGCTTCATTCACAACAGACTCGGCTAGTAACGAAAAATCTCTCCACGTTCAGATTTTAGACGGCCAGCTGACCGATAAATACAACGAGGTGCAGCAGCGAGTTGACACCAAAGCCAAGGCTGTGCACGGCGCCAAGAACAAGGCAGAAGGTCTCAGAGAAGAGGCGAAGAAGCTGCTGAAGGACGCTCAAAACAAGCTGCAGAAACTAGCAGGTACAGTTTGAGTCGTGGGTTTGGATTTATGTGTGCTGAGGAGGGGAATTGCTCCTTGGGTTAGGAATCAGGATTTAGTTAAAACAATTTCAGTCATTTACATTTACATTCAGTAGATTTTCTGTCATAAACAAAAACAACAACAACAACCTTGGTTTTGAACACTTGTGTGAAGTCTTTCTAACCCTGTCCTGTGTCCAAAAAATCCTGATTCCTGCAGAACTGGAGACAAATTATGAAGACAACCGGAGAAGACTGGAGGGCAAAGCCCGGCAGCTGGACGGTTTGGAGGACAAGATGAGAGACATCCTCAAAGACATCAACAAACAGATCCAGATATACAACACGTGTCAGTAACTTGCCGCTCCACGCTCCAAAGGAAACACGTCCATTTTCGTGTCGCTCTGATTTAGTCGTTAAATACAAAAACCATAAACGGTGTCCTGTTGTTGCACAACTGAACTTGTAAAGTTTGTCTGTCAGCACATATTTTACTGTAAATGTAGTTTGTGACGTAATTTTAATTTTATTTTGAAAAAGGTATTATTGAATGTAAGCCTTTTAATTCAGAATATCCCAAAAATAAATAACGATGCACAAGTGTGGAGGAAAAAGATGCTTTGAAACAATCAGTTGGTTGATTTTTCTATGTTCTATATCTGTAGTTGCGGTTTTGTTGTATGTGTTTGGAGTTCAGATAGTTTTTTACGCAGGATGACTGAGCAGGCTTCTGTGACCCTGTCATAAACATGTTGGGAATTTATCATCAGTTTTCTTGCAGCAGAAACAAAATTAAAAGAAAAAAAGAAAAAACGAATCTTAAAGAGCAAGTCGCCCTCAAATCAACTTTTTTTCTGATAAACTGTATAAATGTGTGTCTAATCGTGCTGCAGACACGTGTCGTCAGTAGTTTGGCACTTTAGAGCATCTTAGTAAAAATTTTAATTTTCTGCCTAAAACTGTCAGTGTTGTGCCGTTGTCAGGTAAAAACTCTGCACTGCCGTTGAATTTAAATCTGCCATCGCTATTGGCTAAGAGGTACCCTAGAACGTTAGCTGGTACCATATGATGTCACAATGTCGTTGTGAGCCTGTGTGTGTGTGTGTGTGTGTGTGTGTGTGTGTGTGTGTGTGTATTTGTTAGCGGCTCCACCCTCTCGATCTGCTAGGCAACAGCATTTGTTGCATTTTTCAAACAGGAAGTGGGAGAGAAGTACTACTCTGGTAGGGGGTGACTTGCTCTTCAAGGACAGAATTCACAACAGCAGATTTGCTTAAATTTTAACAGATTAAAAAAACTCACATTTTAATTTAGGGGGAAATGTTGACATAAACAAACGCTTCAACAAGTCGAGTCTATCAGTAAGCAACCACCAGGTTTCCAGGTCAGACCTTTTTCTGTTCTGTGTTCTTGTTGGTTTTTTTATAGACAACAATGAGACATGGGGGTTCATTATCTACCCTTTTGGGTAATAAACCCACATTTTTGCATCGATAAAACTAGAAACTGCTGCAGCGAATAATTCCCATGTAGTGATGAAACGTGTGTAGTAACTCATTGAAGTAAAAGCGTTTAATAATTAAACTTGTGCCTTAAACTGACAGTATTGTGAAATTATTTCATTTCTGCATGATAAGTTGTGTTTTTAAGAGTATAATGCAATTGTACTTATTACAAGTTTCAAGATAAGAGACAATTACCAAAGTGAAAACACCAAAACAAATTTGTCAAGTTTTACAATGTAAATAAACAGAAATTGTTCAAAATTAGTACCTTTTTCATTTTTAAGTTCTGTAAAGAGGTCTATTGGATAAATCCCCACCCCTTAATGTAGTTTTTATGTGTTTGTTGCATTAACATTATATATACACACACATATATATATATATATATATATATATATATATATATATATATATATATATATATATATATATATATATATATATATATATATATACATATATATATATACATATATATATATATGTATATATATATATGTATATATGTATATATATATATATATATATGTATATATATATATATATATATATATATATATATATATATATATATATATATATATATATATATATAGTAGCGGTCTGCACCACCCTCAAGCAGGGTGTGTGCGAAGCAGCAAAGAAGAGTCGACAGGTTGCAGACATTGAACACTTTAATAGTTGGATGGCTCCCCTTTTCATCCCCGCACACGTACATTTAACAACTCAGCATGAACTCTGAACTGAAACAACACTAACATAACCCCGAACAAAATAACCCTAAAAACACCACAAACTGAATAAACAACCCCAATTTACCGTCCCCCCCCCCCAGAGTGCAATGCGGCCTTGCTGGCCTATCAGTGGCAGGGCCGCCACTATATATATATAAATATATATAAATATATATAGATAGATAGATAGATAGATAGATAGATAGATAGATAGATAGATAGATAGATAGATAGATAGATAGATAGATAGATAGATAGATAGATAGATAGATAGATAGATAGATAGATAGATAGATAGATATGCACCGACATGAAATTTTTGGGCCGATACAATATTAATATCTATGCGATAACCGATATACTAACATTTATGCTTCTAAAATCAGCAGATCTTGTATGGAATTAAAATAATTAAAGCTGAATTTACATTTTTATGTACTCACATCACACACATGTATGCATATGAGAGTATTACAATCACTGTCACATGACTAAATAAATACACACCACCCTCTCACCCTCTGAAACGGATAAACAAATGGAAACAAGATGGAAAACATATCGGTTGTTAACATCGGCCCAGTTTTATTTATCGGACTGATGTGTAAAAAAATTACTAACATTAGCCGATACCGATATTGATGCCAATATATTGTGCGTCGCTAACATATATAAATAGGGTGGCTGGGCTTGCCCTTAGACATGGGGTGAGAAGCTCGGCCATCCGTGAGGGGCTTGGAGAAGGTCCGCTGCTCCTCCGCTTCGAGAGGAGCCAGTTGAGGTGGGCATCTAGTTAGGATGCCTCTCTGGTGAGGTTTTCCGGGCACATCACGTGACAATGATCGTACAACAGATAAAGGCTACATCTCATGTCACTGATTGTTACAAGATAAGAGCAGCTGGACAACAAGTTTTAAGGACAAAGTGACAACAACATAATTTTGGCACATTCGTAACCCCATAGCCCTCAGCATTTGAGATGTGGTTTGTCCTGGGGGTTATTTGAAATCAAATGAAATCCTTAATTTTATTAAGGAGTGTTATTATTATTAGCAGTGTGCGCTGATTGGGTGAAACGCCCCGAAATCTAGTGGCTATTGGGGCAGCCTTTATGCAAAAAGTTGCGTTACCGCACGTTGAGATTCACAACGCGTTTGCGCGTAAAATACGGCGCATCCCGTAATTTACGGACGAGAACAATGCGTTAGTAACGGATCATTTGAGATCCCGACGGCTGCCGTAGGGGTCTGGCCGGGCAGCAGTATATTTTGCTTCCAACAAAGTAGGCTCACCCCGCCGAGGCCGACACCAAAACATCTAACACAGTCTGCTGCACGTGTGTGTTTCGGGATGATGACGGTAGACCGACAGAAATGGCTCCTGGTTGAATGTGGAATTTTCTAGAAGCACCGTGGACTCCGAGCAGAAGGAGCCTAGCAGGCGGAGGCCGCGAAGGAACAGTCTAGCAGCACCCGGGTGAAACGAAAGCAGAAGTCGCCAGTTTTTGTGCGTTCAGGCGGAACTATCACCAAAGGTGCGTACGACTCAAGTTATGGTTCAATTCTTGATTTGGGATTTTAACAACAAATGAAAGTTAATTTCCACGAGGTGTCATGCTGTGTTTGTTAATCGCCTAGTCGTTTCGGTGTCTTTCGTTTTAGCCACCGTTAGCATGTTGCTAATGACATTAGCAGATCGACGGCTGCTGGAGCGCTTGATTTGATGTTGGCCCTCTGCCTGATGAGGCGGCGCTGCAGGTCAGGTCCGGCGACCTTAAACTGTGGGCATTGAGATGGTTGAAAAGCACAAATATCAGAAATAGGTCTTGGCGGATGACAAACTGTAAAGGCTAAACTCAATTAAAGTGTTGACGTGTTGCGTCTCGTGTGTTTTAGTTAGATTGTTTAATGTCACGTGACACGACTAAACACTGCGCGCTACGAAACAAACCCCTCACCAGGCAGCTACCAACGATAAGGACAGAATACGTTAAAACCATACAGTTTAGCTTAATGAACATATGTGTGACTAATTATGTGATAAACCTAAATACTGTTGCTTATTAAGTTACTGGGTATTATTTCCTCTTCACCCCATGGCAGCTTGCTGTTGCTATGCTAAGGAAGAGAAACGTAACTTGGCTAATCTTCCTGTGTAATGTCCCCCTTATACATTGGCATTTGAAACCTCAAACCTGTGGCCCTCGTGTGTGTGTCATATTGCATTACTGTCTTTGATGTGTAGAAAACCCTCCACTTTACATTACTTGCACAAAGTACTCTGAAAGAAGTGTGCATTTATAATCAAAGGTCTGTACATTTACTCAGCATACACTTTATCACAATTACCGATACCGATACTTCTACCACACAAAAAAATGCAATGATTTGGAATACAGATTTTATTTTCTTCTCTGCTTTCAACAGGAAAAGACTGTGAGGTAGATAAAAAGTAAAATATATGAATAGAAATAATCAAAAAAATAGAATATTAGGTGAACAGAAATGACAAGTTACAGTGAAGCCATTTTCAAGCAACTGCATTGGTATCGGTTCCTGGTATCGGTTAACTTTTATATCGTATTGGTATGTGCATCGTTACCGGTGCATCTCTTTGGAAAATATCAACATATTGAAATATTGTGATTTTTATTTTCTTGTGTTACAATACTGAATCGATATTTAAAAAGCAGTGTTCGGGCTAGGTAATAAATGGAACATTTACTGTTATCAAAATGTTTGACTTTCACCGATATGGGTTTTCCTCATATTAATAAATTAAATAATTAAGAAAATGTGTGTAGGTTGGCGACATTCACATCCCATTAAGAAGCTGTACCACCTTGAGTCACGTGAATACAGCCATTTTTACAAAACAATGCCGTCAATTTGTCGCAATGCCGTGGCAGCTTCAGGGAGCCTTAGATCGTTGAGAAGTGGTCAGACCGTGGCACAATCATTTCATTTTTGCAAAAGATTAAGCGATGGCGGTATAAAGGGGATATGGAGGCGGTCTCTGTGCTGCCGCGGACTTCTGTTTATCTTGAACAAAAATTGCTTCTTATTGCAATTAAATCATTAAGATTTTTGTAACAAGCTGCTCCTAAAGATGTCTGTCCTTCACAGTCCCTTTGCTGACTCGTGATCTGAGCTACACCTCAAACGGAGAGAAGCTCCAGAAGCACTGCATTGCTCCACTTTGTTGTCTCAGCTGATTCTGTTTACAAAGGCAAAACTTACGGCAGTGTTTACTTTAAATTTCAATCTAGTTGCCGGTCAGAGCTCGACAGTAACTCTGCATGTGATCATGATTCCTCCCTCTGTTGCGCTAAGGCACAATCGCCATTTATAGCAGACAATTACTAGCCTAGTGAAGTAGACCAAATTCTTGCTTTGCAAAGTTTGGTCTAGGATTGCTCCGCTGGAACCTCTCCAGCCTTTTAACAGCATTCTGGCTGGCCAATTACAGCTCTCTAGAGGTTTTTCAAACACATAAAGAGCTGTGATTGGTCCATAATGGTGGGCCAATCAGGGCACTCTATATGCCTGGTGGGTGGGATGATGCAACAAAGTGAAACAAGATGGCGACAGCTCGTTTGAAACAGCTTTTACATCCATTTAGGACTATTAGAACTTGGGCTTCATTAGAATCAGGAGCAGATAGATGTATTTAAGTGCTTTTTTTGTTTGGAAAAAATTGTGTGTTTTCTCCTTCAACTGCGCACCGCCTCATTTACCGATGGCTGTTGCGGTGAGTATGTCACATTCATTGTCCAGTAGCATGTGGAGATCATTTGAAAGACAACTGTAGAACCCGTCTACAACCGAGAGCCGTCAATGGAACGTTGCCAGACTAAATAATACATTTATTTATTGCCAGGCTAGACAATTACAGCAATATTACTACCAAGCGAAGTGGAACGAATGCTGCAAAATTCGTGCATCGCCATGCCGGCATAGCGCATTCATAAGACACACCGTTGATGTAATACTACGCTGACTTGCCGACACGTGTGTCTTGTAAAAAGTGCTAACGGGACTCAACGTAATTCACATGACAGCCCCATCTAGTGGTCAACTTTTGTTTCTGCGCATACATGTAGTTACCGTCCGTTTATTGTTATTGAGGTGAAATCTTCAATTTATCGTGATATTGATTTTAGGCCATGTCGCCCGGCTTACAAAACACGTCACACTCCGAAGTTTAGATTGCACCAGACAGGAAGTCAAACACAAAAGCGGTGTAAAACATCTGGAAACTTACAAAATAAAAGTCACATGCGGGTAAACGCACCTCATTTCCTGTTAAATCCCCTGTAGCTGATGTGAACGGAACAGAAAATAAACCACAGACCATTTTTGAGACATGGATGCATGTTATTGGGTTAAGTCACGCCCATCTACTTTGGGACCATGGGTCCCCTGTTTAAAAAAAAAAAAGGCATGAGAGAATAAGTTATTTTCTGATCACTTTTGACATGCGCCATGGATTTCATATGATGTTTGTGAACTTTAAAGATTTTGATGCCAAGATTTTTAAACGGCGGCAAGTTATTTTAGATTTTGTGTGAAAAGACATAATGGACTACAAATGTTTGACATCATCAAATGAGAAGCAAAGAAAAGTGACTGAGTTTAGTGAGCTTCAAGTCCTTCCAGGATGACAGAAGGAGTGTTAAATGTGGGAAAAAAGCACTATTATTCTGGCCATGTGGTGTGTAGCAGCTACGCCTGGTAAAAAGATTTTGTTTGGTGACGTCACATATGGTTTGTAGACTTTTTAAATTATGAATCTTTACAAGCAAATGAATCTCAAAGTACTCGAACGACAGAAAACAATCTTTTCTATAGCGCATTTCAAGCTAAAAGTCACGAGACGCTTCATGAAAACATAAAAAAAATAAATTTTGAATATAAAAAATATTTTAAAAAATATGTTTAAAGTGAGAAAATAAATTGTGATTAATAATGTAAGGAAAGGGAGAGAAAATGAATAGGAAAGAGGGAAACCAGGGATTAAGGAAAGAGTGACGACAAAGGTCACCCAAAAAACCTGAACAGGTGAGTCTTCAGCTGCTTTTTGAAGGAGACCACTGATCTCAGACTCAGGGGGAGAGAGGTCCAGATGACAAACATACAGGGAGTGCAGAATTATTATGCAAATGAGTATTTTGTCCACATCATCCTCTTCATGCATGTTCGTCTTACTCCAAGCTGTATAGGCTCGAAAGCCTACTACCAATTAAGCATATTAGGTGATGTGTATCTCTGTAATGAGAAGGGGTGTGGTCTAATGACATCAACACCCTATATCAGGTGTGCATAATTATTAGGCAACTTCCTTTCCGTTGGCAAAATGGGTCAAAAGAAGGACTTGACAGGCTCAGAAAAGTCAAAAATAGTGAGATATCTTGCAGAGGGATGCAGCAGTCTTAAAAATGCAAAGCTTCTGAAGCGTGATCATCGAACAATCAAGCGTTTCATTCAAGATAGTCAACAGGGTCGCAAGAAGCGTGTGGACAAACCAAGGCGCAAAATAACTGCCCATGAGCTGAGAAAAGTCAAGCGTGCAGCTGCCAAGATGCCACTTGCCACCAGTTTGGCCATATTTCAGAGCTGCAACATCACTGGAGTGCCCAAAAGCACAAGGTGTGCAATACTCAGAGACATGGCCAAGGTGAGAAAGGCTGAAAGACGACCACCACTGAACAAGACACACAAGCTGAAACGTCAAGACTGGGCCAAGAAATGTCTCAAGACTGATTTTTCTAAGGTTTTATGGACTGATGAAATGAGAGTGAGTCTTGATGGACCAGATGGATGGGCCCGTGGCTGGACTGGTAAAGGGCAGAGAGCTCCAGTACGACTCAGACGCCAGCAAGATGGAGGTGGAGTACTGGTTTGGGCTGGTATCATCAAAGATGAGCTTGTGGGGCGTTTTCGGGTTGAGGATGGAGTCAAGCTCAACTCCCAGTCCTACTGCCAGTTTCTGGAAGACACCTTCTTCAAGCAGTGGTACAGGAAGAAGTCTGCATCCTTCAAGAAAAACATGATTTTCATGCAGGACAATGCTCCATCACACGCGTCCAAGTACTCCACAGCGTGGGTAGCAAGAAAGGGTATAAAAGAAGGAAAACTAATGACATGGCCTCCTTGTTCACCTGATCTGAACCCCATTGAGAACCTGTGGTCCATCATCAAATGTGAGATTTACAAGGAGGGAAAACGGTACACCTCTCTGAACAGTGTCTGGGAGGCTGTGGTTGCTGCTGCACGCAATGTTGATGGTGAACAGATCAAAACACTGACAGAATCCATGGATGGCAGGCTTTTGAGTGTCCTTGCAAAGAAAGGTGGCTATATTGGTCGCTGATTTGTTTTTGTATTGTTTTTGAAAGTCAGAAATGTATATTTGGGAATGTGGAGATGTTATATTGGTTTCACTGGTAAAAATAAATAATTGAAATGGGTATATATTTGTTTTTTGTTAAGTTGCCTAATTATGCACAGTAATAGTCACCTGCACACACAGATATCCCCCTAAAATAGCTCAAACTAAAAACTACTTCCAAAAACATTCAGCTTTGATATTAATGAGTTGTTTGGGTTCATTGAGAACATGGTTGTTGTTCAATAATAAAATTATTCCTCAAAAATACAACTTGCCTAATAATTCTGCACTCCCTGTAGTTGAAACACACATAATTACTTATAGTTTAAATTGAAGTACAACTTATGTGGTTCAGCACGTAAGGCAAGCGGATTAGATGATAACTCTTATAGCCCTGTTCAGGAACTTGTGATCCGACCGGACGGGGAGATTAACCCCGGCTTTCCACAGGAGCCGTCAGCAGCACGTCATAGCTGCTGATAGGAACCGCTGTGGTCAACAGAACCTTTTCCACTGGAGCCGTCAGCAGCACGAGTCGGCCGCGTCTCAGGAGCAGCATGTCGCGGCCTTTACGCGCCGGTTCTATTTTCTACGCGCAACGCCTCTGAAACGGGTCAAGTTCGACATTTTTGGGGAAGGAAAGACAGGAAATCTGACGTGGAAATGGAGATAAGCTCCCAAGATTTTCAGAATAAAGAACGTACTGCCTTCCGATTGCTTTACTTTTAAAAAAGGTTACTAACTGTGCGGCCCCATGAGAAGTTATCACCTAGCTCGCGGTCTCCTTTGTTTTTCAGGTCCGTATTGGCGATTATAAAATGGACAGAACATAAAACACAAACCATGTTGTAGTTTTCTCCTGCTTGTTGTTGTGTTTACTGACGAATTCACTCGTGTGACTTCGTGCTCTGTCGGTGACAGCTGCTCCCCTGCTGCTTCGCATCTCGTGGGAAGGGCCAAGCAGCAGCTAACGCGAGCAAGACGTGCTGCTGCAGTAACGTGCTGCTGACGGCTCCCGTGGAAACCCGGGGTTAGGCTCCCTATAACCCTGGATGTGTCTTCCAACTAGGGCTGCAACAACGAATCGATAAATTCGATGAAAATCGATTACTAAAAGCGTTGGCAACGAATTGCATCATCGATTCGTTGTGTCGCACAACTCTTCCAAAAGCGCCCCCCCTTCCCGCCCGCCGTTGCGCGCAGACCAGAGCAAGTCAGATCAGCGCGAGGGAGAGCCGCAGATCAGCGCGAGGGAGAGCCGCAGATCAGCGCGAGGGAGAGCCGGCAGATCAGCGCGAGGGAGAGCCGGCAGATCAGCGCGAGGGAGAGCCGGCGGTCAGCGCGAGGGAGAGCCGGCAGATCAGCGCAAGGGAGAGCCGGCAGATCAGCGTGAGGGAGAGCCGGTACCGGCAGATCAGCGCGAGGGAGAGCCTGCAGACTTGCGCTGCTGCGAACCGGTTCCGCATTGTTGCGCAGCGATCCAGGCAGCTGCTTCCAGCGCACGGTCCATTCTCAAAGTGGCGCAACCAAAAAACTATAATTAGCACACGATTGTTCATGTCCGCACATGTTCTCTATTTTCTGTCTTATTTGTGCCTGAAGCTCGCTACTGCGGAGCTCATCACCTGTGCTGTGGTGATGTCACCTCACGCAGCATCGAAAACGCACTCTGCGCTTTTCGGTCAGGAGATCCCTTTGATCTGCTCAAAAGTAACTGATGAGGTGAAAAGGTAAGAATCCAGGCAACAGATTTTCTGGAGAATTAAGAGGAGATGCAGGAAGATGAGAGACAGACAGGACAGGAAAATAGTTCAATAAAAACAAGAAAACAAAACAAAGTGTTGAAAAGTCAAATGTAGGTAGAGTTATCTCCACGACACGTTTTTACCAGTAAAAAACAATAAGTTATACACATGTCATTTTTATACATCTGATACAATTCAGATCACCTTCAAAACTCAGTCACACACCCAGGGCCGTTTCAAGACATTTTGGGGGCCAAGGCAAAATGCCACCCCCCCCCCCCCCCCCCTCCAATAACTGGGCTCCCCAGAAGCCTCTGTGTAATTCATGCCCTCTCCAGTAGTGTTAGTTATATGGTGTTTATAAAAGCCCCTCAGACATTACTGACATGTTCTAATATTATCAGATGAAAAACTAAATTATCAGACATGCTGTCTCATCTGCTTCTTTTTTAAACTTGCAAAAAGTAACAAAACCATTTGAAAGCCACTATTTGTGGATTCTCTGAAAGTTTCCATGGAGTGTGTGACAACTTATTTTTTCATTGATCCTATCGTCTAATCTCACAGCTGAAACAAGCATCCTTAATCATCTGTGCACAGGAAGCGTACCGATGCTGTAGTAAAACAAAAGGTATAATAATTTATTATTAATAAAACCTTGTTGCAGCACTAAAGCAGAAAAATTAGATTTTGCATTAAATATGCAAAATATTTACATATGAATTGTTTTAGAGCCCTTTAATTGGCAGAATCTGATATTAATTTAGTTCTTACAAAAAATGGGTCCCAACATGGTTTGTGTGGCGTTGCCATAGTGTGACGTCATAGGCACAGATCCCCTGTCCTCTTGTTTGGAAATGGAAATATGATCACCCTACATTAAACAAACTGTCCACCCGGGCTTTTGCACTGCACAGAGACGCTTCGCTGCCTACGACTGAACGTCAGTTGAGAGTCAGTCTCATGCAGACTGACCAATGAAGAGAGGGCCTCAAGTTAAGACCCTCTCCTCATTGGTCAGTCCACACGAGGTGGGTCAAAGGTTACTCTGGGCGGGTTACGTGTTGTCAGGCATTCAAGTATTGAGTATATTTACTGCATATTACAGTAAAATATTCTGTATGTGACCACATTATGGTGATCCTCGGGTCGTGATGATGGAGCCCTTGAATATTGTTGCCCAGGGTACAACAAAGTGTTAATCTGGCCCTGGTTCCGCCGTCACATTCCCGCAGAAACTGGTTGATCACACCGGGGCCAGACTACTAGCATGTGGTTTTACAACCACAATGTCCTCAGAAGCAAAAACGCTTTTAAAAGGGAGGGAGGAGACCTAACTGTTGCTGCAGGCGTGTTGTGTGAGAGTGCAGTTATATACTGGTTAATATATTTTTGGGTTCAGTTGCTTTCATGTGGCCTAATGTGAGTCTATTTGGGATCATTGGAATGATCAGCAGCATTTCTTGATGTGACTTTATGGCAGTTGCCCAGGGCATCATCGCAAGGAGGATGGCATTCATTTACTTTTGTTTTATTTGGTATTTTTTCAGTCATTTTTGGAAATAGTGATCAATTTTGATTAATTCACAGCCTATGTTTAATTACATTTAAAATAAATGTCAACAGATGAGATCAAACAAAACAGATGAGAATTGCCCTTAAGCTGTTTAACTTGGACCAAGCATTTTAGGTCACAGATAGATGTAGCTTAGGGTCTCTGTCTGTACACCTTATAAGACAATTTAGGTGATGGCATGTTGTTTTTCTGCTATTGAACTGTTTTCTAATTATGTTGTGTTAAATAAAGTGAAGGGAGAGAAATAACGTTTCCCTAGCTGTTTTTAAAAATTTCTCCATGTAATCCGATTAATCGATTAATCGTGTCGAGACCCCATCCGATTAATCGATTATCCAAATAATCGTTTGTTGCAGCCCTACTTCCAACTAAATTTATCCTTAAAAGTTGCTTATATCATCTAGCTTTTAGTGTCGCAGTACATTGTGTCGTCTCCTATGTATTATTGTGTATCATTAATAAACATCGTACCGTCAGATTCTTGCCAGTACATGCTCGCATTGCCTAAAGATAATTCATTAAGTACAGTACTCTCTTTCAGAGCAGAGGCAGTCATGAGTTAAAGTTTTCAGCACGGCAGCTGGCACTCGTCTTTTGGGTATTACTATTTGTTTTTATTTTGTATCTTCCATTTGTTCATTAATGAACTCTGCACTTTCTGTTGCAGATCCCCGTCCCTCGTTGAACATCCTGATTCTGTTCTGGGAGAGTTCAGACCAGTGTCATCGCCAAGATAGCTGGGCCAGGCAGGAAGAGGCACACCTCAGATCCAGACCCCAGCAGCGGCAGTGATTCCGGCGACGGGCATCCCGTTAGTGCCAAGTTCCTGAAGATGGCCAGCAGCGGAGCCAGTGGTGTGGCTGGCGGTGAGACGGCGGGCCATCACGATGGAGCTCAGCGGAAAGGAGGCGGTGGTAGGGAGAATGCCTCGGACCTGGCCCCCAGCACCAGTAAGAAGAAGCAGAAGGACCGGGCCAATCAGGAGAGCAGAGAGGCTAAAAGAGCTGCAGCAGCAGCCAATGCTTCGGTGGATGGGGTTCTCGCGGAGGTCAAGAAAGGTAGAAGTCTTTCTACTAATAAATGATTATTGATGTGAAAGTCATTGATTTGGAAATGGATCAGGAGGAAAGGTTCAGCTCTGTTTTGTTCATTCAAACCCTTTTGTTAAATTACAAATGAGATCATGATGGATATTATTATCTACCAAGTAAAGAGAACCTACTCAGAATACAATCATTTTTGTACAAATACATTTGGATGCTGTGACTTTGACGGCTGATGTCTAAAGTCCGGTTCACATGGCAAGATTTTTGGTCATCTTAGGTGTGTTTTTGCTGTGTCGTATTTCTAATTCCATGCTGTAGTTCTTTTTTAAAACACAACAGTTTTGTTACCTAACGAAACGTAGCGGGAAAACAGGTAACAAAACTGTTCTGTGTTTTAAAAAAGAACTACAGCATGGAATAAGATTTTTGGTCCTACAGTGTGTGGTGTACAGCCAGACAACAAAGACAACGCATCTCACATAAACATCCCCCAGTCAAGACAGGAAATCTCTCAAAACTTTTCAAGATCAAACATGGCTTAGAAGTAAACAAACATTGCAGGTGAGGAAGCTTCCCCTCGTGTTGTACAGCACACCTCCGTCACCTCGATTTCTGATTGGCCACATGTCACATTCAACAAGCAGCACGCTTGTTTGTCCTGGAAGTCGAGCTAAGACAACCCAAAATGATGAATATCCTCAATCAGTGATCAGAGCGGTCCTGACATGTCCGAACAGAGTAGAAAGCTCTTAACACACCACCCACGACAGGATTATCTGATAAGATAATCTTTAGAGCTGTTATGGTAATCTTTCTGTGTGAGCTGGGCTGTAGCTAATACAAGAATGTTCTGGATTGACGTGTGTGTGTGTGTGTGTGTGCGTGTGTGCGTGTGCGCTAGGGCTGGGGGTAAACGATTATTTTTAAAACGATTATTCTGACGATTATTTTATCGAATAGTCGACTATTCTAATGACTATTTAGAAAATTTATCTAATGATTATTTTTCTATTGCACAATTAACAAAAACCAGAAAATCTCAAATAAATTCCTCAAAAAAATTGATAAATTGTTACTGTAAGAGAATAAACACTACAGGCCTTCCATTTTGTATAACCCTGCGTTTATTGTGTTGCGGTTGGTTGTGTTCTGGTGACATGTAGAACTTGGGAGTGCAGGCTGCTGCCTGAGAGGTGGTAGAAGATGGAGTGTCTCCATGCTGCTTTGTTTTGGTCACTTATGTGCGTGAGGCGAGTGGTCTTACGGGTTAAACCAAACTCAGGTGGTATTTTACACTAAACCGAAAACCCACAACACTCTAAATGTAATAAAAGGGAGATCTACGCCACAAAAAAGATGAACTCTAAACCAAAACGTAACAGCTTATCCCAACGCAAGAAGCTGTTAGCGAAGATGCTAACAGTAGCTTTACCAACATTAAGTTCAAGTTACCAAGTTTAAATGAACCAAAAACACCCAGCAGCAAACAGACCAGCACGGAGGAGAGACTGCTACCACCAAAACAGCTCTCCTAATGTCTGAAAGAAGCTCCTTTATGAAGGGAGAAGCGCTCCCGGTGATTTTCTACATCTGCGACAGAGACGGAGCAGCGCACATCTGACCCCGGAAGTTGTTGTCCGTTGCCGGGAGATGAAGGGGCAAAACAGGAAAATAATCTAGTAGTGGACGGACGTTGTTCCGGGTCTTCGGTATTTGGCGGAGATGTTAGTGAAGGCGGAGAAGAGGGCGAACTTGAGGAAAAACAGGCAGATTCCTCCTCTATTTACAAACTCCTGGGGATGCAACAAGTGGGCGCGGTGCGTCGACTTCCGGATCTGACGTCGACAAATTTTTAGAATCGAGCCGTCGACTTCGTCGAGGCTTCGCTACAGCCCTAGTGTGCGCGCATCAGAATTAAGGGAACATGACTGCAATAATGGCTGGCTGTTCACATTGAGGTCCATCTGGCAGTCTGTTATGATTTGTACTTATTTTTTTGGCATTTGTCTCTCAGTAAACATCACAACTGTTCTCGTATGTGACTGATGAGCACGAGGGCCAACAGAACAGGATGATAAGTTTCTGTTTTTTCAGACGTGTTTGTGGACTGGAAACAAAATGTTAACGAAGTGACCGTCAGACTCCGCTGTGGGGACGGCGTTCAGAGGATCGAGGACATCAACTCCACTTTCACAGACACTCACTGCAGCGTGTCCTTCCCAGGTGAGTCCTAACGAAAGCTGGACATAGATCGTGGAGATATCGATGAAAGTAGAGCAGTAGAGTTATATCGGATGAAACCACAGGTTCAACCGTTGGCGAATCGTCCCTTTGCTGCATTTTCCTCTGATAATGTTCATATATCTATTTCTCCAGATGGACGACAGTGGAGCTGCCAGCTGCAGGAGGAAATTGAGGCTTCATGTAGCAAAGTGCAGTACAAAGAAAAAGGTGGATTCCTGCATCTCATCCTGCACAAGAAAATTCCCTTTCACATCTGGCCTTCTCTTAAGGTAAATGGTGTAAACGTATTTGGGTTACCTAACCCTAACCCTACACACGTGCTCCGTTTAAATTCACTAATAAAGGGGAGATTGCAGAGTTGTCGTAGGTTGTTTATTTTGTCTTTTGCAGCTGAGGTATGACTAAATAAATAAATAAAACACAGCACTAAATACTCTTTTTCCTTTGTTTTCTGCTCCAGTCAAACAAGAAAGAGAAGGAGGCGGTGCAGACAGACGCCCAAAGTGATGCAAAGCCTGTTGTCTTGGATTCATCAGAGAAACCTAAATGGTCATCAGGGCAGCCACAACCCCAGCCCCCCTCATCGCCGGCTCTCGGTGAATCCAGACGGATCAACGGGAAATCAGAGCGAGGCACGAAGCGCAGCTCGAAGAACAAAGCCTCTGACAAGGCCGCGACAGACTCTGTGTGTGTGAGAAGTGGAGCTGGAGACGGCTCCAACATTAGCGTCAAGTCTAAGACCGTCACAAACGTTACCCAGCAACTGCAGGAGTCTGGTGCCAAGCGAACTAGCGTACCGCTGTCCAAGGTGAGAGAGGGTGAAGAAATGGACCCAGCGTCTGTCAGGTCTACAAACGTGGAAGCCCCTCCTTCACACCTAACCACCGTCCAGAGCTTGCGTACACACAGTCATGGAGACAACAGAGTGGAGGCGCGGGGCAGTAGAGAGGACCTGGACCTGGACGAGACAGCCAGCAGGACTCGGGTAAGATCCAGTCTCTTATCCTGTGTTGCATCATTGCTTTGAGTTTCGTCTAAACTTACCAGTTGATAATTAGAATACTGAGAGAAAATGGTGCTGAATGGTCGACCAGATCTCCGTGACCATCTCCCGCTAGCTGCCGCCGGCTGCTCGTCACCGCAGTTGGCGGAAGCTATGGGAGCGGGGACCGTGTGATCTGGCTGAGGAGGAGCTTGTTCCTAAAACTGAAGACAGTAGCGTCGAGTCAAAGTAACACAAGCAGACTTTATACAGAACCCGGCAACTGAAATGTGACCCTTTTCAAGTGAAGCACGCTCTTTGTGATATTCATATTTAAATATAAACGATTCAGATATTTAGTTTGTGTCACATTCACTGTGTCGCAGTCCTTGGGCAAGGCACCTAATCCTCGCTGCCTGCTGGTGGTGGTCGGAGGGCCCGGGCGGTGGCATCCGTGTACCGCAACCTCGCTTTTGTCAGTGTGTCCCGGGTCATCTGTGGCTGATCAGCAGCAGTGTGTGTGTGTGTGTGAACGACTGGTGTGTTGTAAAGTGCCTTGGGGGGTCATAGGACTCTAGAAAGTGCTATATAAATACAGACCATTCACCAAATACTTTGTGTTTGCAGGAAATTCTAGTTGTCTAGGGCCACGTTCACACTGCAGGTCATAATGCTCATATCTGATTTTTTTAAATAAATCCAATTTTTTGCGTGGTTGTTCACATTATAACTGAAATGCGACAGCAAACACCCCAGTATGGACAGTTCACAACCCCGAAGCGGCTCGCGAGGGCAGCAGCAGAGCGCTCAGTGGAGTCAGAATCAGGAGGCGTGGAGTTGTGATGTGAAAGACGAAAGAAAGTCTCGTTTAGGGCTGGAAACCATTTTTAAACTATAAACTGGGTTGGTGTTCCAGGGTTTCCCCCAGAAAAGGAGTTAAGCCTGGCAGAGGAGGGGGGCGGGGCATGACGCTTAGCCTGGCGGGTGGCCGAGCAAAGCCTGGCGCTGGGTGAAACCCTGTGTTCCTGTTTTTAGTTGATTCATAGAGGGCTGCTCTCACGTAGGCCAGAGAGGCGCATCGCACCAGCACCAAATCACGACAAGAGTCGTCTCGAGGCTCTTCACAAAGTAAACATTTCAGCTCATTAAGCCAGTGAGTTAAAAGTGTCCTGTATAAGTAACCCAGCAGGTTGCTTCGAGTCACTGTCTAGTGTCAGAGTCTTTACAGCAATTTTCATACTAAGCAAGCATGTAGCGACGATGGAGAGGAAAACTCCCTTTTAACAGGAAGAAACCTCCAGAGCACCTCCTGCTCTCATACTTAACAGGATGTCCAGTCATGTAACGTCAACACATGGCGCTCACCTCTGCTGACTCGGTGACGTAGGAGGCAGATTTAATACTTAAGAATCGGATGTGATACACTTTTGCCTGCAGTGTGAACGTAGCCTTATTATACTTTTATTCCTGACTGTTGTGCAATCTTAAAGTGTTTAGTAATTAGACTTTTTCCTTTAAGCAGCAATCAAAGATAATTGCATTGAATGGGTTCAGTGGAATCGTGCTGCCAGAAACGCTGGCTGTGGAGCGGTTATGCTGCCCCAGCACCCAGCTCTAATAGAGGGTAATTATGTGTAACAGTTCCTTTTTCTGTACCAGGTGTCAGATAAAACAAACCAATCATCAGAAACGTCTGAAGCAACAGAACAAGTCCGCGATGGCCAGCCCGTTCCTCCCGTCATCGATCACTCCCTCAGACCCACCGACTCGAGCCATAAAGTGGACGCTACTTCCCTCCAAATGCAGGGGGACCGGACAGACTCTGCACCACACAGAAAAGCTGCTGAACATGAATCAGGACAGGAGGCTTTAATCTCACAGCAACATGAAGACTCAACAGAGATGCTTTCAGCTCCAGCTGCCTGTGTGGCTGCCAGGCAAAGCTGGGATGGGGAGGAGAAGCAGGACCAGTCTAAAGAAGAAGCCCCTCTGGAGATGATGCAACAACAAGGTTAGTGAGGGTGTTTTAGTGGACGCCGTTTGTTTGTATTTTTGTTTAATCATGCACGGGATGATGGGAAATCACCGGGTAACATTTCTGCACCGTAGTAAATCAAATCTGACTTTTCTGCAGAGCCCATGGTGAACCTGCAGGCTGTAAAGAACGACTCGTATGAGAAGGGCACAGACCTGATGGTGGTGAACGTTTACCTTAAGGGGGTCTGCAGAGACACCGCCAGGGTCATCTTCAGAGAGCAAGACTTTACGCTCATCTTTCAGACCAGGTAGCAAACACAAGCACCGCTCAAGGGCTTTATTACCATCAAACTATCAGTAGCTGATCTGATTTATCTTTTAACAGCGACAGAAACTTTCTCCGGCTTCATCCTGACTGTGGGCCAAACACGGTCTTCAAGTGGCAAGTCAAACTCAGGTAACATGTTTATGTTTATTTATTTAGCCGACGCTTTTATCCAAAGCGACTTATTTACACATGTGCAGATGGATAGAAACGCTAGCAGTAGTTTGCTTGTTGTGTATTAAAACAGCTGATTACATCAAAGTATTCAGGGCAGGTCCTCCGGTGAAAGACAGCGCTGCTCTCAGATCAGTTTCAGCAGCTGGCTCATGCTGCTGTGTCTGCTCCTCTAATTTGGCCTGAATGTATTTTGGTCTGTTGTGTGTCAGGAACCTGATCCAGCCCGAGCACTGCAGCTACTCCTTCACCCCGTCCCGCCTCGACATCACCCTGAAAAAGAGACACAGCCAGCGCTGGGGGGCTCTAGAGGCCCCGGCCACACAAGGTCTGCTGCCAGGTTTCTATTTGGAGGACTTTATTCTTTTTTTCTATCCCCCACACACTAAAGGTTTTCTGTTCACATGGAACGTGGAATAAGGGGCTCAGAGCTGGTGTTAGGTCTCTACACCTGCAGCATGTTTGATTTTGTACAGAACTGATTAAAGTTTATTTATGAGGACACGGTTATCAAGGTTTCATATGCTAGTCAGAGGTTTTGTGTTTGGGGACTGAAGTACACCCAAGTAACAAAATATGGGCGTGTTGTTAAAGACCAAGTTCACCGACAAACCGTTTTTTATCATTTTTGAAACATGATCGGTCACTCTGAGTTTAACATGCAGACTAAAAGTGAAAATGGTCTTCTACCCAGAGATGGGAACCTTTGACATTTGAATCGATGCGGTACCAATTCCCAGTACCTACGGTTTGATACCGGTACTTAACTCATTCACTGCCAATGATGACTAAAGTCGTCATTTACATGTTTTTACTGTGTGGGCGTCAGAACGAACCCCCGCACCGTGAGAACAAACAGCTCTAAAGCCGATCTTCATCCGCGTACGTCACACGTCACGTGATCAGGAAGCAGAACATCCATGTGTTAGGAGATCGTTTTGGGTCGCTGCTGTAAAAAAAGTGAGGCGCGAACTGGAAAAGCGTCTGCCGATCACAATTCAACAACGGATTATGAAAGAACGGATAACGCTCGAAACGCGCGGATTCTTCCTGATGTAAGAGGTGAGTCTCCGCTTTGTTTTGGTTGTTTAGTTGATGACATCATCCTAGCGTGCAACGTTCTGTCACTCTTAAAAAAAACAGTAAAAACGGTGAGAAACGCTGGCAGCGAATGAGTTATCGATTGTTTAAATCACTTTTTTAATTATATATTATTTCCCCAATATATAACTATATTTGATGAATATCATGATAAATAACATACAAACAGTATTTTATCATCGTAGTGTTGGTAGGAAAACCTTTAACAACTGTTTCTAAATGACGCAAAAACAATCTCAGTTCCATGTACTCCTGTTCCTCTCCTTTCTCCTCTGGACCAACGGTGTGTTGACGGGTTTTTGTAGTTTTATAAACTGCTAATTAAACTCAAGCAAACATCTTTTCTGTGACCTAAACTTACTGTGCATCTTTATTCCTTTTGCTGTTCGTTTTCAAACTGTTTATTTTTCCTACTCGGAAGTTGGAGTTTCCGAGGAGAAAGCGAACGCACCATTAGCTGAACGGAAGCTAACTTATCAAGCTAATGTTATCTTAAACATTTTATTTACCCACCAGAGCAGATTAGGATGATGAGGCCTCGCTTAAATTGTTGTTGCTGGTTTCATCATCACCCAGTTACCCGTCCCATTTAGTGAAGTGGACCCAAACTTCAGAACACTTCCTCTCTGCCATGCTGCTCCGTTTACAGCTCGCCCACAGTGACTGACCAGGCTTGCGGCACGGATACCGACAAAAGGCACCGTTTCATATGACGTGAATCGAAACTCAGTCGGTAGTATGGAATTTGGTCGGTGCCCTAAAATGTACCGAATTCGGTACCCATCCCTACTTCTTCCACTATTTCCTGCATTAGCCGCATGATGGAAAATAAACGGGAAAACACTCCGTTAAGAAAAGCCTGACAGATCTATGTCACACTGTCACTGAACATTCAAGGACTCGCCCATCTTTATTTATTCATTATTTAACCAGGAAGGTCCCACTGAGATTAAAAACTTCATTTTCAATGGAGTCCTGGCCAAGAGACACCTGGCTCACGACGGGGAAGGATGTTTTTGGTTTAACCTTCCCGTCTAGGGAACAGCAGAGAATGTCTCGGCTAGTAGATGCTAACCATTAGCATTAGCAACTCCACCACACAGCAGAACTCCTCCAGGCTTGTGTTGTTTTTGGGGATAAAACATCAACGTTGGAGTCGGCGGTAGAGTCGTGTTGCTGTTAGCCAGTCAGAGCAGAGATGTCCACATCTCAGGAAAATCCTCCAAATCCTGTCGCCGTCTGCTCGCCGCCGCTTTGGCTAACTTCTAGTCAGAAACAGGGGTGCCAGAGCTTTTCCCCACAGAGATCGACTCGTACAGACCACTGTAGATGTGTTGAAGACTGAGTGAACTTTGTCTCGAAGCGTTTGTTAGTAAAATGTTAGTTCTCTTTTAGGTTAGCTCATAAAGATGTTGCTAAATGGCCACTATTGATTTACATCATATAGAGGAAAAAAATAGATTTTAGATGTAAAAGTAAATTCTTTTTTTATTACAGCTTTAATAATCCATAAAAGTGGAACGTGCGTTAAACCGTGTTTGTCCTAACCAGTTGGTAAATGACTGGGCGTTCATATCCCAGATAATTACGGTTTGGATGAACCATAGGTGCGATGAAACGTCACCCAGAGTCATCCAGTCTCTCATTGCTAACCTTTGATTTCTAACCACAAGCTGAATTGTCCTGTTTAAGGTGCAGTGGGTGGTGCTAAGGTCGCTGTGCCCTCCGGTCCTGCCTGCATGGACAAGACCCAGCCAGGTAGCAGCCAGCACAGCCTCCCAGCCAAGGAGGAGTCTCCCAGGGTGGGGGAGGACACGCCTAAGGCCTCGCCCAGAGGAGTGGAAGACGCTGGTCTGGACTCGGTAGCATCTCGTACCGTCTCTGAGCACGTAGCGATCACTAAGACAGAATCCTCAGTGACCACAGTGAGTGGTTAGTGAAGAGTGTCGTCAAATTCCTTTTAAAGATTGGTGAATCATCAGCTTTGCAAAGCTCTTGCAAACGTTTTTATTTTTAAGTCAGATTTAACAATGTGAGTAGGGTTGTCACGGTAACCGGTGTAGCGGTAAACCCCGGTAAAAAAGTTGACAATAATAATAACCGTCTTGTTTTTTAAAAACTATATTATCTCGGTGGGTTACCGTGGCTGCGGTGTAGGCGCGGTGACCCTTACCAGCCACCGTATCATCTGCTGAAGTTGCCGGCGGCACATGCGCGCTTTGTTGTTTACAACCAAAACTTTCTTGAAGCTAAAGCTGAAATAATGGCCAGAGGAGGAGACGGCAGCGTGCAGGACATTTATTATCCCTCAGAGAAGACAAAGTGGGAAGTACGGGCATGTTTTGGTTATCTGAAGAATGCCGAGGGACAGTTGATAGAAGACGGCTATCCTGTTTGCAGCACGTGCAGAAAAAGTGTCTGTGAAAGGCAGCAACGCTTCAAATCTCATGACACATCTGCGTGACCATCACCCACAACTCTACAGTCAATGCAAGGCAAGCTAACGTTAGCGTTTTAGCTAAAATGCGTGATCCGAGGATTTGGGTTGAGGGAGAATGCTACGAGTCGCTATATAAAGCAGCCGCAGCGCCGCTACCTGCATATAAACCGTGTCGCGGACACCGCCATGTTGAAATGACGCTATGCATTACGGGGCTCCCAGGGGCAGATAAGAGTTGGTCTCTCTCCGAGAATAATTATGAATTTAACAACGATTACTGCCTGATGACATTTTCCCACATCTGCAAAGCTCACTGGAAGGACACAAACCGAGGACGATATTTTCCTGATATAGGGTTTATTACTCAAGTAAGGGTAAAAAAGTATCTGATTAGAAGGCTACTTGAGTACTGAGTATCATCTGGTGTAATATTTTTAAAATGATGACATCAAACAGAAATAAAATAAGAAGTTATGGGCAAATATTGGTATTTTAAAGACTAAAGGGGAAAAATGTAAACAAATAAACAACATAATTACAAAATAACACATTTTAGGCAAAAGTTAGACACAAACTGAGAACAATATTTTCCTGATATACAGGGTTTATTTAGTTGTCTGAAAATGTAACACGTTAAAAAAAATACCGCGATAATAACGAAAACCGTGATAATTTTGGCCACAAAAACCGTGAGGTTAAATTTTCACACCGTGACAACCCTAAATGTGAGTATGCAGGAAGATCATTTTGTTTGGATAAGCTGAGGATGAGAGTTGGGATCCGTGTGCGTGAGTCTTCCAGGAAAGTCCACTTTCACCACAAAAACCTCTAAAACCTTAAGACTTCTTCCAGAATATGAGTGAAAACATTTAGAGAGAAGAGAAAAAAGATGTCTGCACTTTTATTTCTGTCGGACAGTCAGTTACACCACCGAGTATGCTGCAACAAAACAGACCCCACTAGTGCAACCGTCTGATTTTCTCAGACTGCCGTAGAAAATAATCTGTCCTCTTCAGTTTGGCTCGTCTGTCACAGATCCTCTCCTCTCTAAAAACACAGATGTCTCCTTTAAGGTGTGTTTGCTTGTGTTCCTGCAGCCCAAGCCTACCTGCATGGTGCAGCCTATGACCCATGCACCTCCTGCCGCGGAGCGCCACGAGGAAGAGGAGGAGAAGAAGGTGTGCCTGCCTGGCTTTACAGGATTGGTCAACCTTGGTAACACCTGCTTCATGAACAGTGTCATCCAGTCCCTGTCCAATACCAGAGAACTCCGGGATTACTTCCATGGTAAAATACTGTTGACCCCTTTTAATCAGCGACAAATATGTTTATTTAGTTATCGTTCCATGACACAAAATGTCATTTATCATTCCATTTAGTTTGATTGCTTCAACAGGTTTAATTCTAGCAGAAGTTAGGTTAGATGTTCGGTCCAGTAGGAAACGGATTAAAGAGACAGCAGTTTGACTAATTCATCTTAAACAGGATCAAAGGGTATTACTGTTATTGAAGCATAAATGATTTCGTTAACCAGTAGGGCTGGGGGTAAACGATTAATCTGACGATTATTTTATCGAATAGTCGACTATTCTAATGACTATTTAGACGATTAATCTAGCGATTATTTTTCAAATTGCACAATTAATAAAAAACAGAAAATCTCAAATAAATTCCTCAAAAAATTGATAAATTGTAAGAGAATAAATACTACAGGCCTTCTATTTTGTATAACACTGCTTTTATTGTGTTGGTTGGTTATGTTCTGGTGACATGTAGAACTTGGGAGTGCAGGCTGCTGCCTGAGAGGTGGCTGGAGACGGAGTGTCTCCATGCTGCTTTGATTTGGTCACTTATGTGTGTGAGGCGAGTGGTGTTACGACCCTTCCTGGGGAGTTTGGCTCGTGTGCAAAAAGGAAGGGACAATAACGGGATTTAAAAGTTAAAATGATGATCAGGTTTATTTACAATTACAAAAAAACAAATCTTTCCATCCACAGGTTGGGAATAATAAAACTAATTCTGCCTGTGGGGAATTAAAACAAAGTACAAATAACCTGGGATGTCCCACTGGGCAAAGATTACTGGGTTCTGGACCAAAATAAGGATCTCCAAAGGTCCAAACTCTAAACTGGGCGGTTAAACCAAACTCAAGGTAATATTTTACACTAAACCGAAAACCCACGACACTAAATGTAATAAAAGGGAGATCTGCACCACAAAAAAGATGACCTCTAAACCAAAACGTAACAGCTTATCCAAACGCAAGAAGATGTTAGCCAAAATGCTAACAGTAGCTTTACCAACGTTAAGTTCAAGTTACCAAGTTTAATTAAACCAAAAACACCAGCAGCAAACAGACCAGCACGAAGGAGAGACTGCTACCACAAAAACAGCTCTCCTAATGTCTGAAAGAAGCTCCTTTATGAAGGGAGAAACGCTCCCGGTGATTTTCTACATCTGCGGTAGAGACGGAGCAGCGCATCTGACCCCGGAAGTTGTTGTCCGTTGCCGGGAGACGAAGGCGGGCAAAACAGGAAAGGAATCTAGTAGTGGACGGACTTTGTTCCGGGTATTCGGTATTTGGTGGAGATGTTAGTGAAGGCGGAGAAGAGGGCGAACTAGAGGAAAAACAGGCAGATTCCTCCTCCATTTACAAACTCCTGGGGATGCAACAAGTGGGCGTGGTGCGTCGACTACCAGATCTGACGTCGACAAATTTTTAGAATCGAGCCGTCGACGTCATCGACGCTTCGCTACAGCCCTATTAACCAGGTCCTGTCGTACGTCTTTACATCCCGGTTGGACGGTTTTCTGAGCTGTGTTGCTGCTTTCCTGCAGACCGAGCGTTTGAAGCAGAAATCAACTGCAGCAACCCTCTGGGAACAGGAGGAAGACTCGCCATCGGCTTTGCTGTGCTGCTCAGGGCTCTTTGGAAAGGGACGCACCACGCCTTTCAACCGTCAAAGCTCAAGGTCTTAGATCGGCTCCTCCAAACAAACGTGTGTTTGCAGGATGTTGTGTTTAACGTCCCCGTTTGTCTCTGCTTGCCTTTGGAACCACGTAGGCGATCGTCGCCAGTAAAGCCAGTCAGTTCACTGGTTACGCTCAACACGACGCGCAGGAGTTCATGGCGTTCCTGTTGGACGGACTCCACGAGGACTTGAACCGCATCCAGACTAAACCGTACACGGAGACGGTGGACTCTGATGGACGACTCGATGAGGCGAGTCGGCTTCTCTTGAAACAGCTGAACTTTACTGAAAACTTTTACTTTGAAAGGACGGACTGGTGTGCACTGCTCTGAGGATTTGTTTTGGGATGCTGCAGGTGGTGGCAGAGGAGGCGTGGCAGAGGCACAAGATGAGGAACGACTCCTTCATCGTGGACCTCTTCCAAGGCCAGTTTAAGTCTAAACTCGTGTGCCCCATGTGCTCTAAGGTAGCAGATGACTCCTCTGAAGATCTTCACTAACGTTTTGCTCCTGTTAAGCTCACCGGGCTCTTTTTCAGGTCTCCATCACTTTCGATCCGTTCCTGTACCTCCCGGTCCCGTTGCCCCAGAAACAAAAGGTCCTCTCTGTTTTTTACTTTGCTAAGGAGCCACATAAAAAACCAGTTAAGGTAAGCGTTTCCCTCGCCGTTCCGGAGTGTGTGTCTGTGTTGCGTAATAAACACCGTCCGTAACCGACTCCCAGACCGCTAAGCTAACATTTCTAGTAATAATGAAATAAATGTTAGTTTATTTAAATGTTTGTCTTCAGTTTTTGGTGAGTGTGAGTAAGGAGAACTCCAGCACAGAGGAAGTCCTCGAGTCCATCTCCAGGAGTGTGAGGGTCAAACCTGAGAACCTCAGACTGGCAGAGGTGAAAATCTAGAATATCAGGGATCTTATTCTCTGAAATCTCTTAATTTGGCAGGTTGCGATTAAAACAAACCAATGAAAACTATTTATTTTCTGTTTTTTCTGAGGACGTTTTCATATGAATGACGTTTTTTTTCTCCCGTCTGACAGATTGTAAAAAACCGTTTTCAGCGCTCGTTTCTGCCGTCGCACTCGCTGGACACCGTGTCCGCCTCTGACACGCTGTTCTGCTTTGAGGTGCTTTCTAAAGATCTGGCCAAAGAGAGGGTGGTTTTGCTCAAAGTGCAGCAGGTAGTAATAACCAAACAGATTGCGTTTGACCCTTGACCCTGTACTATGAGAGATGAAAGGAGCCCTTTTGGTGTCTTATAGAAACTCCAGGTGCCAAATATCTCCATCTCCAAGTGCGCAGCGTGCCTGAAACCGCCGGTGTCTGACGAAGACAAGCTGAAGAGATGTACTCGCTGCTATCGGGTCGGCTACTGCAATCAGTGAGTGCTCCTGCCACGCTCTTCAGCGCCCGGAGGAAAGACAGAGTAGAAGTAAATGTTTGGATTGTTTCTCCACATCCAGAGTTTGTCAGAAGACACACTGGCCCAGTCACAAGAGTCAGTGTCGCCCCAACTCCGAACACGTGGGTTTTCCCTTCCTGGTCAGCGTGCCAGAGTCTCGTCTCTCCTACGCCCGTCTCTCCCAGCTCCTAGAGGGCTACTCCAGGTACTCGGTCGTAGCTTCTTTAACATCGATCCCGCGTAAGACTTAAGATGCATTCATGTTTTGTAATCGCTAAAATCTCTCGCTGCAGGTTTTCTGTCAATGTATTCCAGCCTCCGTTCCAGTCAGGAAGGACATCTCCTGAAACCTCCCAGTCTCGTTTAGATGTCGCACCAATGCCAGCAGGCTCTGTGGATGAGGCTGTGGCTGGCAGCAGCACTGCAGGATCAGGTGGCCTGGTCTCTGAGAGCCACTCGCAGCTTCCCGACGGTCAAGCTGAAGAGTCTCAGTCCTCAGCCGTCCACTCTGAGGCATCAGGATCGCCGTCCCCATCCCAGACGTCTCTCTCAACCACAAGGACTACTGGTTCTGGCTTCTCGGAGTCGTTGGACCCTCATGCAGAAAAAGAAACGTCCTGTGAGAAAGCATTGAGACCAGAAGGTACTGGAGATGAACTCAGAAGTGCTTCTGGAGTTGTTACCTGCATACCAAAGCTCTTGTTTTTGTTTTCCACCACCTGCTGCAGCTGCAGTAACAGGTTACCAGCAGCCGAATGAGTCGGCATCGGGTCACGCCAGCCCCTTCTACATCGCTCTGCTGGACTCCAGCAACAAGGAGCAAAGGCTGGACGAGAAAGGTGAGACCGGACGCACTCACTTGAGCTTCGTTACGTGTCTTTTCTATTTGAGCTGATTCAAATCGTCTCTACCCCAAACGTTGTTCAGAAGACGTCCTAGCAGACCTTCCTGAGGACACCACCCTGGAGCTGGTGTGGAAAAACAACGAGCGCGTAAAGGAGTACGTGCTGGTGAGCTCCAAGGAGCTGGAGTACGACGAGGACCCCGGCTCTTTGAGCGAGACGGCCAGAGCGGGACATTTCACTCTGGAGCAATGCTTGAATCTCTTCACCAAGCCAGAGGTGCTGGCGCCAGAGGAAGCCTGGTATGAGCAGAGCAGGAATATTAGTTTGGAGCAGCACACTTATGTTTACCGAGGGAAAGTCGTTTCAGAGATCTTTGCTGCCACGTCGAACAGAAACCCAGAAGCAGAAAAAAGTTACTTTGTCTTTTATTTTATACGATGACTCATCAAACTGCAGATTTCACTCATCCTGGTCGCCAAAAGCTACAGAATTGAAAAACCAGTCATATTCTTGTTCTTCTGGTTGCCACTGTGCCTGTGGCGTGATTTTCATCTGCAGTAATAAACATAATAGTTTCTGCATTAAGTAAATAATTGAACTTTAGGAGATAAAGAACAAGCAGCTTTTTGTTTATTTTCTTAGGTTTCCTGATTGAAGGCCTTTTCACACAAACACCGATGCTGATGATTAAATCCACTCGTGCAAAATGCAAAATGTTGTTTTCATATCAGGTTTAAAGTCGTGGGTGAGGCTCTTTGGAGACAGTTATCAATTCAAATGTAGTCATGATGGCATTGTGTAGGATGAGGTGGAAGTTAGGGGATGGAGAAATGAAGCAGCAGCTCATATTAACACACACACACACCCATATGTATTACAGTGCGCTGCGTACCTGTGATATTTCAGTAAGTCTGCTGTGGTCTCTAATATAAAGGAAGGCTTGTGAGTCGTTTACTGTGGGGTAAAAAAGCTCTGGCGCTCCTGCAGGGCATCCGCGAGTCCTTAAAAAGTCTTAAATGAGCTTTTCCAAATTTAAGGCCTTAAAAATCCTTAAAAATGACAAATAATCCTTAAATACAGTTTCCAAAGGTCTTAAATTACCAAAGACCCAATAAACAAGATTCCTTTGTTTCTATCAAATTTTCGTGACTTTGTAGTTAGTGTCAGCATTTTTTGTGTACGATGTTGGCGTAAGCGGAACCGTACACATTCAGTTGGTTGTGAAAGGGGGCTATTTTTATATGAGCACATTAGCTGGTTAAGCTAGTGGGAGCTTGCGCCATGGGGAAGTGCAAGCTTAATGGTAACTGGATGGCTAATCCCACGTTTGCGACATGGTTAGCACCGGTTCTAGGCAATAGCTGGAAATTATTGCTTAAATTTAACTTAAAAAATAGCTTAAATTTGGTCAAAGTGGCCTTAAAAAAGGTCTTAAAAGTCTTAAATGTGGCTCCCTTCAACCTGCAGATCACCTGTTCTGTTTTAGGGGCTAGAGGACAGGGGTCTTACTCATTAATGTTTATGATTTGTGATCTCTCAAATGTAGCTAGGGCGGCAGAAAAGCGGCTACGCGGCTGAGACTCTCCGGTGTGTACTAACCCACAGCATTAAGATGTGTGAAGTTGGGGTTAGTACCTGGTCAAATTAAGGTTTACTAGTAGGGATGGAAGAAAATATCGACATGGCAATATATCGTGATATGTTGTATCGTCTCCCCTGCATCGTGATACGTTTTGCCAAAAATTCACCAATAAACATCCCTAACTAGTAGTGTTATGCAACCAATTAGAAGTTGACTGCTTTCTACATAGGTGTGCACTTCAGGACCACAGTAGATGTGTGAAAATGGCCTAGAAGATTGTTTTAACCCTTGAGAAAAGAGAGCCCGAAACTATTAGAATCGTAATAAAAATCTTTCAGCGATGGTTTTGGTTTGCTTTTAGTCAGCCTTTGGTAAATCTGTTGGATGAAGTGGTGGGACCTTGATAGAAACGGGTGTATTTGGACGTGCTACCAGCTCAGTTTTCCTTCCTCGTCCTCTGACTCTTCCAACATCCGCTGTGTCTTCAGGTACTGTCCAAAGTGCCAGCAGCACCGCGAGGCCTCCAAGCAGCTGTTGCTCTGGCGTCTGCCCAACGTCCTGATCATCCAGCTCAAGCGCTTCTCCTTCAGAAGCTTCATTTGGAGAGATAAGATCAACGACATGGTTGACTTTCCCGTCCGGTGAGACGTCCAGTTTAGACTTTTTGGCTTTAAAAGCATTACGTGTGATTTTCACTCATGGGTTATAAATTTTTGTCGTAACATTAGCGTCTAAACCAATCTTACAGGAACCTCGACCTGAGCAAGTTCTGCATCGGCCAGAAGGACGAGATGCAACAGCCTCCTGTTTACGACCTGTACGCAGTCATCAATCACTACGGAGGAATGATCGGAGGCCACTATACCGCTTACGCTCGCCTGCCAAGTGACAAGAACAGCCAGCGCAGTGATGTTGGTGAGGTCACCGTCTGACGGGTCTGTGCTTCTATCCGTCGAGGTGGGCCTCATTCTCACGGTTCTCCATCTCTGTGCCTCCAGGCTGGCGTCTGTTTGATGACAGCACTGTGACGATGGTGGACGAGAGCCAAGTGGTGACGCGTTACGCGTACGTCCTTTTCTACCGCCGACGGAATTCCCCCGTGGAGAGGCCTCCGCGCTTCCTGAGACCCGTCACGGCCGAGTCCCCCACAGCTGCAGGAGATGCCGCCAGCCAGGTGAGGGAGCCAGAGCACCGAGTCGCGTGTCCGTGAGGGGGTGTGGTCTCACAGCTGGATCGCAAGAGTTTAAAGGCGTATTTCAACCGTTTTAAACGGTCTTTTCAGTAGGGATGGGTACCGAATTCGGTACTTTTTAAGGTACCGACCGAATTCCATAGTACCGACCGAGCACCGATTCACGTCATTTCAAACGGTGCCTCGTTTCGGTACCCGTCCATCATAACGAGAACTTGCCAAGACAGCTGCGCAAGAGCGTTATGTCGTCGGTCGCTGCGAACCAGTTGTAAACAGAGCAGCATGGTAGAAAGAACGCACGCTAAAGCTTGGGTCCACTTCACTAAATGTGATGGGTAACTGGGTGATGATGAAACCAGCGACAACGATCTAAGTGAGACATCCTCATCTTAATCTGCTCCGGTAGGTAAATATAATTAGCTTGATATGTTAGCATCCGTTTCGCTAATGGTGCGTTCGCTTTCTCCTCGGAACTCCGAATTCCCGTCTAGAAGAACATGAACGTGCTCTAAAGTTTGGCTTCACTTTACTAAATGCGACGGGTGATTGGGTGAAGATGAAACCAGTGACAACGATCTAAGTGTGAGGCGTCATCGTTTTAATCTGCTGCAGCAGTTAAATAAACTGTTTAAGATAACGTTAGCTTGGTATGTTAGCTTCCATTGCTACCATTGTTATCAGCTAATGGTGCGTTTGCTTTCTCCTCGGAAATTCTAACTTCCCAGTAGGAAAAATCAAATGAAAAAAGACGGCCAAAGGAATGAAGATACACAGTAAATTTAGTTCACAGTAAAGATGTTTGCTTCAGTTTAAGTATCAGTTTATAAAACTACAAGGACGATGTTAAAATACAAACAGTTGAATGTTATTTATCGTGATATTTATCAAATATGGTTATAAATTGAGAAAATATATATCTAATTATAAAAGAGAATTAAAATATTAAACACTCAAAAGTATCTAAAATTGGTACCGTTAAGTACCGGTATCGATTCGTAGGTACCGGGAATTTGTACCGAATCGATTCAAATGTCAAAGGTACCCATCCCTACTTTTCAGGAAGCCATCTACACAAAACAAGAGACATTATGGATAACTTTCACATAAAAGCAATCTTCAGAATGGCTGAAAATCCAGTTTAATTTGCTCAGAGCTGTACCGGATCCAGCTGCATGATGCTGGGAAAGATTCACATTTGTTTCTAACCCTGTGATAAACAGGAACTTTAAACGGGCGACTTAAAAAGTTCTTTAGGATGTGCTGCACTCCTACCGTCTGATTGACAAGGAACCTTCTCTCGTTTGATGTAATATTTTAGCGCGGGGGTACATGGCAGTGTTGATGCTGAAATCTTAACTGTGCAGCATCTTTCCTGATGAATGACGGGAGGGTTATTTTGGGTTGTGATGTAAATTCAGTGATAATCGGTGATCGTGCTGCTTAAATGATGTCGGCCTCTAATGGGGATTTGGCCGCTTTGTCGGGCTGTAAAAGAGAAGCTGTTTTCTGGTTCTGCTTTGAGGCCCATAATAAAACGTTCTTAGTTCATACGTCCATCACTGGAGGTGGACGCTAATCTTCACCCAGCTAAGTTCGCTTACCAGACACCACTCATGACATCAAGTAGTTTGTTTCTTTTTAAAGGCTAGACCATGTCTGTTATCAGACAGGTGTCCATCTCCATATTTGTGATTAACATAAGAACCATTCCAAGCCCGACTCGCTTTTCTCTTTATAACCATAAAAAAATCTTCTGTTTCTCACAGCTGTTTATTGCTGATGACTGAAATGTCTCCTCCATCACTGTTTGCTGTTTTCAGAGTCCCCAGCGTAGCCTAACTAGCTCCGATGTGAAACCTCCGGTGGAGGCTGCCAAGCAGACTGAAAAGTGACAAAAAAAAAAATTTACGCCTAAATCTTGACAGGAGAAAATGGTGCTTCAACAAAAATGCTTCATTGTATCTAGACCATAATTTATTTCTATTCACCTAAGCTGTGACATAGGGCTGGTCCATAAATAGAAAATTTATCGTTATCGAAATTTCTGACTCTTATCAAGATTATTTTTCCCATCGCAATAAATTTGATAACAAATGTAAAGATGTGTGTAGGTTGGCAACGTTCATGTCCCTTTAAGAAGCTGAACCACCTTGAGTCACGCAAAAATGTGACTCAACGTGATACACGTGACAGCCCCATCTAGTGGACAACTTTTGTTTCTGCACACACCTGTAGTTATCGTCCATTTATCGTTATCGAGGTGAAATATTCAATATATCGTGGTATTGATTTTAGGCCATATTGCCCAGCGCTACTGTGACTTGAAGACTGTGTTGTTTTCTGGGTAATCTGCGACAAATCTTTCTCCGGAATTTTGCCACATTTTGTAAATGAATACTTGATTTTAACTCATTCGCTGTCGGCGTTTCTCACTGTTTTCACAGTTTTTTTAAGAGTCACAGAACGTTGCGCGCTAGGATGATGTCGACGCCAAAACAACCAAAACAAAGTGGAGACTCACTTCTTACATCAGGAAGAATCCGCGCGTTTCGAGCGTTATCCGTTCTTTCACAATCCGATATCGAAATTTTATCGGCAGAAGCTTTTCTGGTTCGCGCCTCACTTTTTTTACAGCAGCAGCCCAAAACGATCTCCTAACACATGGATTTTCTGCTTCCTGATCGTGTGACGTATGTGGATGAATATCGATCAGCTTTAGAGCTGAGATGTTTGTTATCACGGTGCGGGGGCTCTTTCTGATGTCCGCACAGTAAAAAAATGCAAATGACTTCTCTCTCCTACTGGTTACAAGTGGAATTACAACTTTCGTAAACAATCCTGCACTAACAGCGAGTTAACGCTAACATGAGCCAACTAATACTAAAATAAACCAAGTAAAAAGATCCACACTGTTGGACAAACATATTATTACTCACAAGTCCAGTAGCAACAAAGCCAGGTCACCATCAGTCTGTGATTTCATAGCTTCCTTTAGCTCCCTCAAGCTAGCGTAGGCCGCGTCGATGTTCCCTCTGGTTTTAGCTCTTTGCTTTGCCTCTAAAGACATTACTTTGTGACTTTTACCTCCATGCGCCGCCATGATACCAACAAGAAAACATTGTTTCTTATTGTGCTTTTATTGACAGTCAGCTAACTGAAAAGGCTAAATGCTAGTCTTTACTTTAGCTACTGGCAATGTAAACAGCTGTTAACATAAAGCAAGTAGATATCTCCACCTAGTGTTTTTACCCAAACCACAAAACTAAAGCTAAAAAGTCAGCAGGGCCACAGAGTGCTGTCCAGTGTGAAATTGCTCAAGAACCAGTGAAACCAGTTTGAAAGCAACAGCTTAAAGTGTGAAAATGAATGAATGTGGCTTTAAAGAGCCAATGGAAGTTTTGGTTTTCTTGCATGTCGTTAGCTTCTACTCAGCAGGAAGAGTCAAGCTGTGATCATAATGTCTTGTTAGGCCACGCCTTTTCCCAGAAGCTGACACCGGTTTCCGCCAATCGCAGGCCTCTCTGATATGGCGGGAATTGGAGGAGGAAGAGGATGGACTCGACGAGGGGCCTCATGGATTGTTCCGCTCCGCACTGCGGAGACGACAAACGCAGAGAAACAGAGCTGAGGGAGGCCCGACCGAGGGCCCGGTGCCACGGCACCGCAGGCAGAAGATGTCCGACTATCCTGACGATGACTGCGTTCGATATTTTGTGCTGGGCACGCTGACCGCAGTTCTGGCTCTGTTCATTAATTTGATCTACCCACTTGTGTACAAAGTGAAATGGACCTGAACAGAGGCTGGTTCTGGACCGGTTGGTCTTCAAAAGGAACTTTGAGTTTTCGTCTAAATGCTTCAAATAAACAAAAGAAATGGTTCTGAATTCAACACACAGCTCTTCAGCACTAGACCTTAAAAACAGTTATGCACTAGTTCACATCCATGTGTGTGTAATAATTATCGGATTATTGGCCGTTACGGCCTCTTGAGCCAGTGGTTACGGCCTCTTGAGCCAGTGGTTACGGCCTCTTGAGCCAGTGGTTACGGCCTCTTGAGCCAGTGGTTACGGACTCTAGAGCCAGTGGTTACGGCCTCTTGAGCCAGTGGTTACGGCCTCTAGAGCCAGTGGTTACGGCCTCTAGAGCCAGTGGTTACGGCCTCTAGAGCCAGTGGTTACGGCCTCTAGAGCCAGTGGTTACGGCCTCTGAAGCCAGTGGTTACGGCCTCTTGAGCCAGTGGTTACGGCCTCTAGAGCCAGTGGTTACGGCCTCTGAAGCCAGTGGTTACGGCCTCTGGAGCCAGTGGTTACGGCCTCTGGAGCCAGTGGTTACGGCCTCTAGAGCCAGTGGTTACGGCCTCTAGAGCCAGTGGTTACGGCCTCTGGAGCCAGTGGTTACGGCCTCTGGAGCCAGTGGTTACGGCCTCTGAATCCAGTGGTTACGGCCTCTGAAGCCAGTGGTTACGGCCTCTTGAGCCAGTGGTTACGGCCTCTAGAGCCAGTGGTTACGGCCTCTGAAGCCAGTGGTTACGGCCTCTGAAGCCAGTGGTTACGGCCTCTGGAGCCAGTGGTTACGGCCTCTGGAGCCAGTGGTTACGGCCTCTGGAGCCAGTGGTTACGGCCTCTGAAGCCAGTGGTTACGGCCTCTGAAGCCAGTGGTTACGGCCTCTGAAGCCAGTGGTTACGGCCTCTGAAGCCAGTGGTTACGGCCTCTGAAGCCAGTGGTTACGGCCTCTGGAGCCAGTGGTTACGGCCTCTGGAGCCAGTGGTTACGGCCTCTGAAGCCAGTGGTTACGGCCTCTGAAGCCAGTGGTTACGGCCTCTGGAGCCAGTGGTTACGGCCTCTGGAGCCAGTGGTTACGGCCTCTTGAGCCAGTGGTTACGGCCTATGAAGCCAGTGGTTACGGCCTCTTGAGCCAGTGGTTACGGCCTCTTGAGCCAGTGGTTACGGCCTCTTGAGCCAGTGGTTACGGCCTCTTGAGCCAGTGGTTACGGACTCTAGAGCCAGTGGTTACGGCCTCTTGAGCCAGTGGTTACGGCCTCTAGAGCCAGTGGTTACGGCCTCTAGAGCCAGTGGTTACGGCCTCTAGAGCCAGTGGTTACGGCCTCTAGAGCCAGTGGTTACGGCCTCTGAAGCCAGTGGTTACGGCCTCTTGAGCCAGTGGTTACGGCCTCTAGAGCCAGTGGTTACGGCCTCTGGAGCCAGTGGTTACGGCCTCTGGAGCCAGTGGTTACGGCCTCTAGAGCCAGTGGTTACGGCCTCTAGAGCCAGTGGTTACGGCCTCTGGAGCCAGTGGTTACGGCCTCTGGAGCCAGTGGTTACGGCCTCTGAATCCAGTGGTTACGGCCTCTGAAGCCAGTGGTTACGGCCTCTTGAGCCAGTGGTTACGGCCTCTAGAGCCAGTGGTTACGGCCTCTGAAGCCAGTGGTTACGGCCTCTGAAGCCAGTGGTTACGGCCTCTGGAGCCAGTGGTTACGGCCTCTGGAGCCAGTGGTTACGGCCTCTGGAGCCAGTGGTTACGGCCTCTGAAGCCAGTGGTTACGGCCTCTGAAGCCAGTGGTTACGGCCTCTGAAGCCAGTGGTTACGGCCTCTGAAGCCAGTGGTTACGGCCTCTGAAGCCAGTGGTTACGGCCTCTGGAGCCAGTGGTTACGGCCTCTGGAGCCAGTGGTTACGGCCTCTGAAGCCAGTGGTTACGGCCTCTGAAGCCAGTGGTTACGGCCTCTGGAGCCAGTGGTTACGGCCTCTGGAGCCAGTGGTTACGGCCTCTTGAGCCAGTGGTTACGGCCTATGAAGCCAGTGGTTACGGCCTCTGGAGCCAGTGGTTACGGCCTCTGGAGCCAGTGGTTACGGCCTCTGGAGCCAGTGGTTACGGCCTCTGGAGCCAGTGGTTACGGCCTCTGGAGCCAGTGGTTACGGCCTCTGAAGCCAGTGGTTACGGCCTCTGAAGCCAGTGGTTACGGCCTCTTGAGCCAGTGGTTACGGCCTCTGAAGCCAGTGGTTACGGCCTCTGAAGCCAGTGGTTACGGCCTCTGAAGCCAGTGGTTACGGCCTCTGGAGCCAGTGGTTACGGCCTCTAGAGCCAGTGGTTACGGCCTCTAGAGCCAGTGGTTACGGCCTCTGAAGCCAGTGGTTACGGCCTCTGAAGCCAGTGGTTACGGCCTCTGAAGCCAGTGGTTACGGCCTCTGAAGCCAGTGTTTACGGCCTCTGAAGCCAGTGTTTACGGCCTCTGAAGCCAGTGTTTACGGCCTCTGAAGCCAGTGGTTACGGCCTCTGAAGCCAGTGGTTACGGCCTCTAGAGCCAGTGGTTACGGCCTCTGAAGCCAGTGGTTACGGCCTCTGGAGCCAGTGGTTACGGCCTCTGGAGCCAGTGGTTACGGCCTCTGAAGCCAGTGGTTACGGCCTCTGAAGCCAGTGGTTACGGCCTCTGAAGCCAGTGGTTACGGCCTCTTGAGCCAGTGGTTACGGCCTCTTGAGCCAGTGGTTACGGCCTCTTGAGCCAGTGGTTACGGCCTCTGGAGCCAGTGGTTACGGCCTCTGAAGCCAGTGGTTACGGCCTCTGAAGCCAGTGGTTACGGCCTCTTGAGCCAGTGGTTACGGCCTCTTGAGCCAGTGGTTACGGCCTCTGAAGCCAGTGGTTACGGCCTCTGGAGCCAGTGGTTACGGCCTCTGGAGCCAGTGGTTACGGCCTCTGGAGCCAGTGGTTACGGCCTCTGGAGCCAGTGGTTACGGCCTCTGAAGCCAGTGGTTACGGCCTCTTGAGCCAGTGGTTACGGCCTCTGAAGCCAGTGGTTACGGCCTCTGAAGCCAGTGGTTACGGCCTCTGAAGCCAGTGGTTACGGCCTCTGAAGCCAGTGGTTACGGCCTCTGGAGCCAGTGGTTACGGCCTCTAGAGCCAGTGGTTACGGCCTCTGAAGCCAGTGGTTACGGCCTCTGAAGCCAGTGGTTACGGCCTCTAGAGCCAGTGGTTACGGCCTCTGAAGCCAGTGGTTACGGCCTCTGAAGCCAGTGGTTACGGCCTCTGAAGCCAGTGGTTACGGCCTCTGAAGCCAGTGGTTACGGCCTCTGAAGCCAGTGGTTACGGCCTCTGAAGCCAGTGGTTACGGCCTCTGAAGCCAGTGGTTACGGCCTCTGAAGCCAGTGGTTACGGCCTCTGAAGCCAGTGGTTACGGCCTCTAGAGCCAGTGGTTACGGCCTCTAGAGCCAGTGGTTACGGCCTCTAGAGCCAGTGGTTACGGCCTCTGAAGCCAGTGGTTACGGCCTCTAGAGCCAGTGGTTACGGCCTCTAGAGCCAGTGGTTACGGCCTCTAGAGCCAGTGGTTACGGCCTCTGAAGCCAGTGGTTACGGCCTCTGAAGCCAGTGGTTACGGCCTCTAGAGCCAGTGGTTACGGCCTCTAGAGCCAGTGGTTACGGCCTCTGAAGCCAGTGGTTACGGCCTCTGGAGCCAGTGGTTACGGCCTCTGGAGCCAGTGGTTACGGCCTCTGGAGCCAGTGGTTACGGCCTCTGGAGCCAGTGGTTACGGCCTCTGGAGCCAGTGGTTACGGCCTCTGGAGCCAGTGGTTACGGCCTCTGGGGCCAGTGGTTACGGCCTCTGGAGCCAGTGGTTACGGCCTCTGGAGCCAGTGGTTACGGCCTCTGGAGCCAGTGGTTACGGCCTCTGAAGCCAGTGGTTACGGCCTCTGAAGCCAGTGGTTACGGCCTCTTGAGCCAGTGGTTACGGCCTCTTGAGCCAGTGGTTACGGCCTCTGAAGCCAGTGGTTACGGCCTCTGGAGCCAGTGGTTACGGCCTCTGGAGCCAGTGGTTACGGCCTCTGGAGCCAGTGGTTACGGCCTCTGGAGCCAGTGGTTACGGCCTCTGAAGCCAGTGGTTACGGCCTCTTGAGCCAGTGGTTACGGCCTCTGAAGCCAGTGGTTACGGCCTCTGAAGCCAGTGGTTACGGCCTCTAGAGCCTGTGGACGGTTTGTGAATCTGCTTCTGAACATTTATCTCTGACACAGAACTACCACGAAGAGAAACTTTGCTAAAAGCGAATCTAAAAGTAAATTTTCAGACGAAGCAGCTGAAAATGTAGTTTTTTTTTTCTTTTAATTGTCGAGAAGTAAGAAGAGCTTTGTGTTGCAGCTGCTTTCCATGTGAATCAAATTCTTAATTCTTAAAATGGTTTTCTTTGTCCGGCCACCTTAACGTTTGTCATCCTGGGTTACTATTACAGGTTTAACTTCAGAAAAACTTTATACTTATTGTCCAAATAATGTCTAAATATACGCTGTTTAGCATCTGTGAACACCAAAGCCATACAGGAATCAAAAAGGTTCTCTAATTGTTGTGCTTCCTTTGACTCTTGAGCTTCCATGCTTTTGTTTGTGCTGCAGATTTAATGTATTTGTTGATCTCAGGGAAACGTTGATACTTTTGCTTGATTCAGATATATGCAAAGCTAAAACGCGTTAAGATATCAGTACTGTAATGATGAAAAAGGAAAAATTGATGTTTATTATTTATAAATCAACTTTAGTGATGAAAGTCAATTAGTGGAAGGTGCATTTTAGTAGTTTAGTGCCCAATCAGCGCCGTTTTTACATGAAAATGCTGCTTTTTTTTTACTTGACCTTATTGAAATGTATAAACTGAAAATAATATTCCTAACTTATATTTTAAGATCTGTATGTAATATTTTTCTGATTATCTCCATATTACCTGTTCTGTATTTAAAAGATGCCCTATTTTAATTTCCTTGCAATAATCTGTCCCTATGCCTCCTAATGCTGCTTTTTAAAATCTACATGGAAATAAAATCCCCTGCCTGTTATCTTTAATCGGGCGTAATTTTCTTCAGATTGTCTAAATTTATCCAAACACTAAACAGGCTCTGGTTTATTTTACAGACGTCGAGTCAGTCGCTGTTCGGAACGGACCTGCACCCTGAAGGACCGCCGAGCCTGACCCCCGAGGTACCCGCTGACCTTTTTGTCCCGTCTTCAGAGTGTGCGGCTCCATCCTATAGCAACATGGAGGAGGTGGACTGATGAGGGAAACGCCAGGGGAAGCGGTGCTCGGTTGAGAACTCACCTGTGGTGGTGGCTGGCGCCTTAATCGGTTGTCCAGAAAACTAAAACAAAAAAAATCTGAACAAAAGGGGGTCGTAACTGCACTCGGATCAGGTGACCCACACCCACAAACGAGTAAAGCAACGTTTCCATTAAGATTTAACAAACTGAATACGTGTAGTTCTGTCCATCCATCTCGTTTGAAGCGGAGAACTTTGAGCCGACCTGATCCTGGCTGTCGCTGTGCTTGACTTTAGGTTAAACGTGTACTTATAGTGGTGTTTGTTAAAATGTGTGTAAATGATCTCTTAAAGGCTTTTTTCTGTTGCTTCTACGTTGTACAAAAGAGGGGTGCTAACCTTTGACCTTTTTCCTTCCTTACTGCAGAGGGCACAAGCTTTTTTTTTTTTGGTTGCTTTCCAGAATTAACTTGGCTTGTTTCTGACTGTTTTTCTACTGTTTTAGGTATTTGATCCTGTGGATGCAATTGTGAGAAGGCTTCAGTATAAACTGAAATATGCATGACTGCATGTTCATACAGGTTGTGACCTCTGCCCTCTGTAAAAACCCAACCCAAGCCACCGCGACATGTTGGGTTCATCGTTTTCATTTTTCTTCTGTTTTGCATCGGTCTCACCTCTCCCCTTCTGCGTACTTAAGGTGGGAATCATTAATATTGCTGCTGTGGAGACTATAAATGGTTAATATAAATAAAATGCTGAGTCATGCTAATGGAAAAGGTGCAGTGTTTTCTCTTGTTTTTGCACTTTTCTGCGTATTTAATGAAAATCTTTAGGCTGTTTCTGTTAATTACACAAACGCAAAGCAGTTCCGGTAAAGGGTTTGCTTTGTTAAAGTTAACATTTTACACAAGTTTAGTTTTTCATACTTGTTTTACACTTTAGAATTGTACATACTCATTTCTTAAAGAGCAAGTCACCCCCTACCAGAGTATTACTCCACTCCCACTTCCTGTTTGAAAAATGCAACAAATGCTGTTGCCTAGCAGACCGAGAGGGCGGAGCCGCTAACAAATACACACACACACACATAGGCTCACAATGAAATTGTGACATCATATGGTACCAGCTAACGTTCTAGGGTACCTCTTAGCCAATAACAATGGCAGATTTAAATTCAAATGCAGTGCAGAGTTTTTACCTGACAACGGCACAACACTGACAGTTTTAGGCAGAAAATTTGAATTTTAACAAAAATGCACTAAAGTGCAAACTATTGACGACACGTGTCTGCAGCACGATTAGACACACATTTATATAGTTTATCAGAAAAATAAGGTTGGTTTGGGGGTGACTTACTCTTTAAAGTAGAATCTTGTATCACAAGAGAAAGCGGTTTAGATCCGTTGTCGGTACCGGTTCGGCTCGTGCTGCGTCACAGAGGATTGGCTGAACGTAAGACTTACAGAAGTTGCAAAACCACGTCGTAAAAGTTACGTTTGCACGTTGACGATGAAGATTTTGATTGGTCTGAACAAATTTGCGGTTGTAGTCCAAAACGAATATCTTTGGGGAAAATATGTTTGCATTGCCACATGAAATGGAAAATCAAAGCAATGATATCAACTGATAAATGGAGAACCTGCAGCTCTTAAAGTAAAAGAACTTTATTGAACAAATGGCGAGCAACATTTAGAATGAATGGATGTGTTTTCATAAGAACTAAGGAACGAAGAATTCCACATTTACAAACATGGAAATGGCTGCTAATTATGTGAATACATTTAAAAACGTTCTCCTATAAGAACTGTTGTGCTCTTTGGCAGCCGGATGTTGGTTTTATGTAGACAATATTATAATTAATTTACAAAACAAAGACAATATGGTGTTTTATTAACAAATTACAGTTCTGAACATTTGGACAGAAAGAAACTCATTTATTAGCAAAGCTGCTGAGCTCTTTCCGAGACTTGTGTGAAAGCCAAGCGGCTTTGCTGTAGTGTGACGTCAGCAGGCGCAGGACCCCGAGCAGACCTGGTAGCGACACCTGTCATGTGTTTGTATATGAACTTGACTGGTGATCTATGGAAACACACCAGGTTTTATTCATAATCGTATCTCGGAGACGATTGAGCTGAATATAAATTATAGTTGTTTCCAGTCACAAGTTTAAATCCAACAGTCCCTCAGGTCACCACCTGCATTATTAAAAATACATCCAACCATTATCTGAACCTGCTTGTCCATGCAGGGTCGCGGGGGGCTGGTCCCTATCTTTAGCGATCAACGGACAAACTATCAGAAGTAGAATGTATTTTTTAATTTGATACGTTTAGAATACTTGATGCATGATAGAAATGTTGAATGCTGCTTTTGAAAGGGTTAGGATGCTACCGAGAATAAAATGATAAAGTAGAAGAAACAATCTTTTATACAGTGCAGTGGCACTCACTCCAGGTCCGGGAGGGCCGACATCCAGCAGGTTTTCTTTATTTCTCTACTCTTAACACACTTAATTCAGTCATTGAGTCGCCTGTGCAGCAGTTCTTCAGGCTCACCTATTGATCGCCTGCTGATTGAAATTAGGTTTGTCGAAGCAGAGTTCGAACCAAAACTTACTGGATTGGATACCGGCTCTCCAGGACGAGGAGCGAGTACCATCAATGTAGCACCTCCCATGAGAAAAATCATGAGGCGCTTCACAAGTAAATAAAAATATTGAGGTTCTTTAGTTGTTATGTAAACACATCTATTTGATCTGTAATTATTCCTCATTTTTCTGCCTTTTATTTCTTGCACCCATCTTGTTGTATTTGTAACGTGAGGAAAGCTTTAGGAGCTTTTTGTCATACAGAGGCTGCATACTGAAATACCAGCATGTATAGGCAACTATCCACCTGAAGGTGGTGCTGTTATACCTGTATATACTGTGTGTATATATATATATATATATATATATATATATATATATATATATATATATATATATATATATACACACACACACACACACACACAGGCGCATATTCTTCCTCCTGCTGGTGGGCTGAGTTCATATATATATATATATATATATGTATACACATATATGTGTATATATATATATATGTATACACATATATGTGTATATATATATATATATATATATGTGTGTGTGTATATATATATA